TCGCTTATGGGGGGTTTTGCGAGGAAAAAATACAAGAGACAAGAAGGGCAAGGGAAGAAAACGCCAAAAGACAGAAAGCCACACGAAACTTTGATCGGCGCAGTCACCGAAGAAAAAAAGAAGAAGCCACACGAAATCGCTTTATGGAAGAGGTTTTGAGAAAATACAACAAGACAAGGCAAAGGAACAAAACGCAAGAACAGAAAGCCACACAAAACGAACTAAAATGACAGACTTTCCAGCACTTCTTCGGTCCGACTCTGGTGCCGTGGATTGGAATCAAAATTCAGATGGACCTTTAGGTGCGCCTTCTTGCCCCCTTTAAGTCTCCCTTCAGCTCCCCTTCAAGCCCTTCAAGCCTTCTTCAAGTCCCCTTGAAGCTCCCCTTCAAGCTCCCTTTCAGGAGTCACCCTTAAGCCCCCCTTGAAGTCCTCTTAAAGCTCCCTTCGAAGACCCTTGAAGGGAGCTTAAGGGGAGACTTAGGGTCTTCCCTCTAAGGGGTTTTGAGGGGAGCTTGACTCAAGCCCCCTTCGCCCGAAGGTGGCCCATACTGGCGTGTGGCTGCAGACACCTGGGAGTTTTCAAGGTTTGAACGACAGTTACAGACGAACGTGGTGCAACGGACAGCGGTCATCCCCGCAGTCTCAAATGGAGTTGGATCATACCCCGCCTTTGATTGCGGTCAACGTCCGCAAGCGTCACACTCCAAGATGGATGTGACTCTGCAAAGAGGCCAATGTTCTGGTGACTCGAGAATCCAAGCAGCTCTTGGAATCCGGAGAAACAGGACACGGCAGTTCAGGCCCAGCATTCGCTTACTATTCTCTTCGAGAAGACGGGGTATTGATTTTTGCGGATGGGTGCAGTGACCACACCCTATCGGGAGTGTTGAACAGATCCAAAGCCAGCAAGCTCATGCTCATAACAGAGGCGCTCGTTGCTTGGCAGGCAGTCCGCGTTGCATCGCAAAATGGTGCTTAAGCAACATCTGGCGCATGTGGATGATCATAACAGAGCAGCTACTGCCACTACTGCGCTACTGCAGCAATAGCCATCTTGACAAAGTTTCTGCAGGGTCTTTGCTTCGCACCTTGTTGGCATTCGGGCTAGAGGCTGGTTGAGTGGCACAACAGGGCGGAATCGCCGCTTAGGACCTTCTGGAAGTGGATGGCAGAGCAGAGATGTGCCAGGCCCTTGGACTTGGCGGAGCTGCGCTTCTACGATGCTTCTTTGCTTCTACACGCTTAGGTGAACCTTTCAAACCAGAGAGCAGAGACATGAAGTCCGAGAAGCTCAGTGATGTCGGCTCAAATCCTCCAGTTTGACTTTGTTAAGACTTGCAGGCTCAGAACAAGCGTGGCTATCGTACGGTGGCCTCTCTTGCTACGGCAACTTCTGAGTAGAAATCAACAAGGCAATTGTCTCTGGCGCCTCAAACGCGCGATGTACGGTCTTCGTCAGAGTCTTTAAATTGTGGCAAGATCATTTTGCCTTGGTGATGGAACGATTGGAGTTTCACAGGTGTAAATCTGACAGTAACCTCTGTTGTCACAAGTCTCGCTCATTGTCGTCTTGCCTAGCTTGTTTCCAAAACAGCAGAGACAACACACCCACCCTCTGCCCTTGGAGTGGTAGGACTCTTAGTCATTGGCATGTTGCTTGGCTCTGCCAAAACCGTCCTGAGATGTCTTCCTTCCACCACTTCGGTCGGGCGCCGTCTTGGCTGGGTTCCCCGGGATCTGAATGCTCCTGATCTCGCAAATTGGTGGCTTGGCTGGAGGTCGTGTCGCTATCTAGCACCAACGCCATGGCCGACCGCCGGAGGAGTAGTTTTCATGTCCTCTTGTGCTTGACACTGTGTCAGCTTGCCCTGTGCAGTCAAGGTCCGGAAGTGCTTTTGCGCAGCTAAGGTGTGCATCTTGCTTCCGCTTCTATGTGCGGCCGTCGTTGAGGGCGTCTTCACTTCAAAACTTCTTCTTGTTGCCATTGCTCTTTTCCGTTTTTGCCGTGTTGAATGTGGGTGTTGTCAGTTTTGTGGTTTCATTGGCTCACGATTTCTTGCCCTTCCAGAATCCCAACACCTTTATGAGTCATTCTGCTGCTTCCTTGGTCCAAGCTGCAGCTGACTGCGTATGATCAGCATATTTGGCGATCCGGACAGCATGTAATCTCGCAATCTGGATTTCGTTCGCAAGATGTGCTTGACATGCAACCTCCACTGCTTTGCGCGAAGCGCTCTCAGAAGAAAGTGGTTTCGGTTTTCGTTTGCTACCCGGCAAAACATCCACGTTTCAAATTTTGTAAAATGAGATATCATCGAAGCTCGAGATGCAGACAATGTTATTGCGTGTTGAGTATTGCGGCTGATGCGATTCCATGACGCAACCAGTGGTTTGCATCTTACTCGCAAATGCTGTTTGTGCATCTGTGCGCGTCTCAGTGTTCTGTGATGCTCAGGTCGAACAAGCCTGGGAGGCACTGGCAAATTTGAGCGTAACCGTGTTCAGGGTCAAGACTCGACCCGACCATGAGCTGATCAGGTTTGGTTGGTCCTCCGCTTGGCAGCTCTTGGAGGCAGTGTGCCCGTCTCAGAAAAATCGTTCGCGGTGCAAGAAAGGACGGGAGAATGTGCAAGTTTTTTGAAACACTTGTTGGTTTAAGGCATGTCGAAATTGAGATTTGGAAAAGAACCTGCCGAGGTTTTGGGCTCCAGTTGGCTGCTGCGTGCTACCTGCAAGCAGCCGACAATTTATCTCTTCAATTGCTCCTCGGAAGCAACGGTTTGTGGTACTTTATGAGCTTTAGCAGCTTCATCAGGAGAGGCATCATTGCCATCATGATTTCGTTGCTGCTCTATTTTCAGGGCTTTGCTTGTCGTCATCGTCGTCTTATCATGATAATTGCTGTCGTGATCATCATCATGACTTTCATCACCGTCATCACCATCAAAAGCATCATCACATCGTCATCATCATCATCATCATCATCATCAGCATCATCACTATCATCACTCAATGCAACCTCTGGGAAGGACAGGATGGCCTGATAAGTTTGCAATCACATAAGCCACGAACAGAGCACTTCCTTCAGCAATCAATTTAGACTCATCACGATCATCAACATCACTATCATTACCTTCATCTTTCCTCCTCATGATCCTTTCATCGTCATCACCGTCAACGTCAGCAGCATCACCAGCCATGTGAGCATGCTCGACAGGGTTTTCATCCTTGTGAACGAGTGGTACCAACATTGCTATCTCATTATCACGAGTATTCTTCTTTGGGTCTTGCTGCTGTGGTCGTTCTTCGGTCCGAGGCCAGCTTCGACACCTGGCTTTGGCGGATTTATGCCTGTCCTTGGTGGACCCCTGGCTGTCGTAGGATCCAGGGGCGTGCAGATCTTGAAAGCGATGTCTCGCGAGTCTGCTTAGGACCCGGGCTACGAGCCGGGGCCCAACCTCGCGACCTCGCGTAGTCGTAGTTTGGGCGGACGGGCTGAAGATGAGTTGCACGCATTGCACGCCAGAGGCTTGCTGTTTGGGCAATCTGGCCTGTGGGAGCCGGCCTTCCGCCGCTTTTCAATATTTGCTGCGCGGTTCTCGGATGCAGAGGCCGAGCCATCTTCAGAGCTTTCATGGCAGAGCTCCTGCAAGACTTGGTTCAAACCCTGTTGAGCTGCAAGTTTTAAATGGGCAGAGATGTGGTATGAACCTCAAACCCTTTTAAGGCTTAGGGGGTTTAGGGGTTTAGGGTGTACACCTAACAAGGGCAATGAGCCATGTCGCACGATACCATCATCTCGATCAATCCGTGGCGGAAAGGCGCATGGCTCCGCAGCAGGGGGTTGTTCGTGATATTTGTTGAGATCCCACGTAACAAAAGTTTTATGTAGGTTCAGTTGTCGGAGTTCGCCAGGTCATCGGTTGGGATGGCACTTCAGAAGCACATATCCTTACAGCTGTAGTGAGAAGATGCCATGGAACCCCAACGTGCGGCTTCGCCGCGCAGGAGGGCCCGGATGAGGCGATGTGGTGCCAGAGCAGCTGAGCAGGTGCGGTGGAGGCACTTCCTGCTCCGCCCTGGCGAGCGGGTGACGCATTGACTTCTGGGTGTCTCTGCTGCTTCGAGCTTCGCAGAGGTGGCGCCCTGCGGTTATGTTTGCAGTAGAAAGCAACATCTCGGAGGAGTTTGCGTGCATTGTGCCTTCCAGGACGCCGTTCGCTGCTCGTGCTACGACTGCTTCTTCGACTTCGCTTCGTACTATGACAATGAGGTTCTGCGCTATGGCTTTGCAGGCTTGCGGACATATCCTGTCCTAGAAGAGTCTTTTTGCCTGCCCTTCCTTAGATGCTTCCAGTCCTAGCAGTAGCTGCCGCTCGCTTTGCTAAACATTCGAGAAGTATGCCTTGCCTAACGGATCGAAGCCAGATCTGCATTTTGACTCATAGTTGCACATCCGACTCATCCGAGACTTGGCTGAAGCAACTTGCTCCCTGCACAAGCTTTCAGCAGCAGAATGGCTCGCTGTGTCTTGATTGTATATTACTTGCAGTGCAGCAGCAACAGCAACGGCAATGGCTACAGCAATTGCTGCAGCTCTTGCGGAGGGTCAGCTTTCTGTTCTCCTAACAGCGGCAACTGTTACAGCAACATCACAATCGTCTCTGCTCTGAGGGTTAGATCTCAGAACATAGATCCTGGTCCCCTAAGCTGCGACAAGGTTGAAGCTTGTTCAAGGAACTGCTTGTCGTGACGACGTCATGGGAGAGGTCTGGTCGTAGTGAGTACTAGCGAGTGCGGAAGCGAGGTTCTGTACGCATGGTTGTTGACACCGTGCGAAGTAGCGATCGGATGTCTGGCAGCATCGAGCCGCCTCAAATCCGCAGGTGCATTGAGGCCCGCAGCTTCCGAGATTTGCACGACGGCCATCTCGGAACACAGGCTGGAAGTGTTCGGGTGTTTAGATATTTCATGTCTTGACTTCTTGTGGAATCGTTGAACGAGGGGCTTTCTCGGCAGCTTCCGGAGTGATGCGACTATGACTATGACACATTGCACGTGAACATGACGCAGGGGAGAGTGCAGTAAAGACTTAGGCATTGTTGCACACTTGGAGGACCCGCAGCAGGTCTGCCACTCGAGGATTCTTGATTTATGCAGAGTACTAGGGTGTAGGGCGTGGGTGTTGGGGTCACTTCGTCGATGCTGGTTCAAGCGGTTTTCGCGGATTGCTTCGTTCGAGTTGTGCAACATGCCGACATTGTTTCCAGAGCCGATAAACTGGGTGAACGGCCCGCTCACCTCCCGAGAGAAGGCCTTGGCCAAATCAGTCCGTTCTGCTGTTCTGCAATCCGTGTCCATTGTTCACGTTATGAGCCCAAGACCGCACCAAACCAGTGCGGGCGACGCCACTCCATCAGTACACACTGTCGTGGATGCCACATTACCGGCACGGGCCAGCACGCGCGAGTTCAATCATCACGAGTCTCAGTCGCACGACTGCGATGCCACTGAACCTCCCGCGAACCCGGCGCTGAGCAACCTAACCACTCACGGCCAGGACTCCTGCGGGGCCCGACAGGTCACGGACTCACCACCTAGCCACCACATGGTGCCGCAACACCCTCTGTTTACACAGCGGTGTGTATCTCCCGCGCTCCTGAGCACACTCAGTGCCCTCCACGCACCGATGTGGTATCATTGCACACTGCGCCTAAACCAAGTTCTTCGGCAGCAGTAGCTCCCATAGATGTACACGAGGCCCCCAAACAGGTTCGGCGCCGACTCAAGGTCAAACAGCCCTCAGCCCATCAACTGACTTCAGGACCTCAACCGCAGAGGACCGGAAGCCTCAGCACCTGTCAAACTCCTTAAGGGTAAGGCCTTAAAGAGACAGCGCGAGGAATCCAAGGTCCTCAAAGATTGGACGCCGTGGCCCTGCCCGGTTTGCCAACAAGCGATCCAAATCAAAGGCTGGGGCTATGGCCAGTACTATCGTGAAAAACATTTGCAAGCTGCACACAATGTAGGCTTATCCCAGTTTCCATTGCCAGGTAGAATTGCGATGACTCATAAAGCCCAGCTTCGCATGACCAAGCATAATCATTCTCAGGAGCTTGTGCATGTCAAGAAACATAACTTGACGGATTGTGGCCTCAAACATTGCACCTGGCTATGTCGTCGCTGCCTAGTCCGAGGTAGCAGCGGCAAGATGGCAACCTACGACTGCCAGCTGAAAAGGGACACCAAGCGAGCAGGCTGGTGGAAAGGTTTTCACAAGGCCCGTAGGCACAAAGTTATCGCCGCCTTGCGATGGGAGCTCGCTCAAGTCCAGGACTACGATGCCTGGGCTAAGCAGGCCATCAAAGCCTCTAAGCCCCATCTCAAGCCACCAAGTCCTAAGGAATTGCTGTATCGCAAAAAGCTTAAGAAAGCTCGAGCCCAATGGCGCCGTGACAACGGTTATGCTGAGGACCCGCGACAGGCATCAGGCCACACGAACGCCCGCGTGACCATTGCCAAGCCGGTCATGGGCCGAGTGCCTAAACCGGGATGTTGACGGCAGGCGGCCGCCCCGTGTTTGCAGGGTGGTCTGCAACCAGTCCGTAACTCATCATCCCTTCTCTCTGCCGGGGTCTGGATCAGGGATCTTTGTGCTGAGGGCATAGAACCAAATCCAGGCCCGGTCCCACCCGATGAGGCTCGATCTGTCGTGGATTCTACGTCTCTAGGTTCTCCGCAGCCCCAGTTTAGATCGAAGCGACAAAAACGGTATGCGGCCCGCACTGCCCGAAACCAACCCTTAAAGATTTGGCAAGCCAACATTGCCTCATGGCACACTCATGGCCAGGACTTGTTGGCCCAAGCCACAAAATCAAACATCGATGTCTTGCTTGTTCAGGAAACCGCGCTCAAGGATTATGAGGCCCATCAAATTGCCCAAGCCATGGAGGACAGCTGGACGTTCCTTCATCAATGGCCGCTTTGCTGGCAATCGCATACACGGCGGCATAGCTGTCATTGTGCATATGCATCTTGCGGCCGTCGTAGCGGCCGCTAAAACCACTCCACACGGGGAATGGATTCGCGTGGCGCTGGGAGGATTCCAATTCATTTCAGCGTATAAGCGCCCGGGGCTTACCCAGGAGGATACATTAACTTGGGTTGAAGCCTGTTGCCAGGATCTTTCTACCATTTCAGGACCTTGGCTTATGGGCGGGGATTTCAACGAGGACCCGAGGGAAGATCCTCTGCGTCCTTGGTCCTTTGCCTTGCATGCCAACGTCGTGTACCCCCACAACCATGTAGAGCTTGATGACTCGGTACTCGAACCCGAACCACTGGCAACGCATTGGGCCTCGCATCATTGCATAGACTGGTCCATGCAAAAAGATTTCCACATCATCCCCGAGGTACTTCCCATAAATTTGCGGACCACCGGGTTCTGGAGTATGAACTTGCCTTGAGCCAGACGCAACTCACCCAAAACACCCGTTTAAAACCGCAGCCGCAGTGCACCAAGCCCGACCACCTGGAGGCTGATGAGTGGACAAACCTCATCGAAAATGCGTGGCACTACATTGTGGAGGACTGCGGTCACCCCAGCACCTGGGAAGACTTTAGCAGCGCCCTAGGTAAGACCCTCACTCGGGCAACGGACCAGGCTTACAATCAGGTTGATCCGAGTCTCCGCCCTAGGCAAACCCGCAACCCTAAGGGAGCCCAGCTTCTGCATGCCGGGTGGTCAAGCACCACCGGGCCCGCGTTAACCCCGACCATAGCATCCTTTCAACCCGTCTCCAGAAACTCTGGCGCAGGCATGTCGAGTTCCATGACCACCATGCTCATCGTCATGATGAGCCCTCCCGTAGGTTGGCCGTCAATCTACGCAGAGAGGCTTCTGCCTGACAGTGTCCACACAACCCGCTTAATCCCCTAAGCATACCCCAAGTAATAGCTTGGCTGCAGCATCAGCTGCACGTACGTAATGAACAGGCCATGCAGGCCAAACTTAAAACGTGGCGTCAACGAAAGCGCGACGATGTCCGCCAAGTTTGGCAATGGCTTGCTCGCACCAAAACGGTGCAACCGGTAGCCGGGGTGCTGGCTGCGGACGGCCACACGGTCGTCACGGGTGACGCGCTCACACGTGAAGCTGCAACTTTCTGGCGCCAAATCTGGCCCAATCCGGATGCTCAGGCACGCCAGCAAGCTCAGCGGCTGGAGGCCTCAGCGCCTCCTTGGCCTCGGCCGGCCACTCCCGAGTGGCCGTCACTCACACCTACAGATCTTCGTTCTGCATTTGTGAAGATGCAGTCGAAGGCTAGTGGTCCAGATGCATGGAGCGCCAAGGAGCTCATGTATCTGCCAGACTGTGTACTTCTAGTCGCAGTCCGGTTTCTGCAAGCTGCAGAGGAGGATGAGATGTCCCTTGGCCCACTGCTTTACTGCAATGGCGCCAGGTGCACTTACTTAAGCCTTCTAAAACCCGGGGTCTCCTCACCTCTTTTAGACCCATTTCGGTTGGTTCTTGTTGGTACAGGGCTTGGTCGTACACCCGTATTCGCCACCTTCGCGATTGGATCGCGCAGGTCATGCCTTCCGAACTGCACGGAAGTCTCCGTCACAGGTGTTCACAGCCTTGGTAGGCCCACTCACGGCTGTGGAGGCCACTCTCAACAATGCCCAGCCCAGCCCTGGTCTACGATACTTCGGGGCTGCCGACTTAACTAAGGCCTTCGACAGCCTCCTGGGCTCTCACGGCACCGCCGCCCTCAACCGCATGGGCGCGCCTCGGCCTCTTGTTGTCGCACTTCAAAAGGCTTGGGACCATCAAACCCGATGGCTCCAGCTAGGCAGGACGGTCTCTGCCACTCCTCAGGGCGAAGTGCATTGTCTACCACAGGGGGACCCTGCCTCGCCTCTTGCGCTCAATGCGGTCATTGCTGAGGCCCTTACGCGCATCAAGCAGCAGCACCCTCAGGGGCAGGCGCTCCACCGTGCCTTCCTTGATGACCGCACATGGCTCACCAAATCCCCACGGCTTTGCTGTGAAATCGCTGCTGCATGGCAACGGGAAGTTGCCATGCTTGGACTTCAAGAAAACAATGGCAAGCTTGAGTTTGCTGCTGCAGGAGGTGTCAGGTACCGCAGGCGCCTCGCCACTGAGCTTCAAAACGCGAGCGACAAGATACGCACGCGCCCCCTAAGGTATTGGGGACCCGTCTTCTCCTCACGCGAGCCAGTTCCAAGGCTGAGGAGGAGAACTCCACCGCCTCGCTCAAGCTCGCGCGACGGGATCCTGGATTAAGGCCCTCCCTCATTGTGACTCGCTTAAGCAAGGGTTCTTTAAGGGCGCTGCTCTCCCTAAAGCCTCTACGGCGGTTCTTGCTAGGTTGCACTCCCTGAAGGAACTTAAGCTTCTCCGCACTGCCTACGCTGCAGTAGTGGATCCACACCGCAGCCCAAACGGCCCTGGCTGCACGGCCGCTCCCCCGTGAGCGTCGCCGTCGCCTTGCTGCCGCAAACTTGCAAATCGTGGAGCTCACCCCACGTGATGCCAAGCAAACGCTTCGTCATGCCCTCAGGGACGCATGGCGAGGCCACACGTGGAGCCAGTTCCTCAGGACTGACTCCAAGGCCGCGCAGGCCCTCCAGCACTGCGCCCGGCCGCAGGTGCGTAAGCGCGCCCACAACATGATGATGCGTTGGGCGAGGGGTGGCGAAGACCGCCGCCACTTGCGTGCCAGCACTTCGGGCCACTACGTCAGCCGTGCGCGGCTGCTTTCCACAAAGGGTCAACCGGTCACTCCGTGTCCTTGCGGTTCCGCCACACCGCATCGCGCACATGAGTGGGTTTGCCCCTTTCTTGCTGCCCCTGCAACCCCAAGATGTCGTTCAGGTTGCCTTAGGATGGCCACTGGACGCTGTCCCAGCTTCAGCTCATGATGCTTTCCTAGCGCAAGTGATTCAAGTGCGCAGAAACTCGCTTGCAGAGAGGTTTCCAAGCTAGTGCTGAGCCATAGCCAGTGCTTGCAGTGTCAAGCCACCCTTGGCTAACACACAGGTGTGAGGTGTGATTCGTCACGCTTGCTTCTCCTGGCCTCAAGCTGTCAAGCCACTCTTGGCAAACACACAGGTGTGATACGTCACGCCTGCTTTCCTGGCCTCAAGTCCGTGCCCGACTGCAGGCCGACAACGTGTACTACTAGTACTACTAGTACTACTACTACTACTACTACTACTACTACTGCAATCCGTGGATGAAGGTGATGGTGTTTGCTTGACGCTTGCAGGCATTGTCGGGTTTGTTGCAATTTGCGTTATCGTTTGGGCCATTTGGAAGAAATGCCATGTGGTTCAATCGCCCCCTCCGGAAGTATTGCTAGAAGAAGGTAGGCTTACGGCTCTGCAGCTTCCATCGCTGCTGCACTCGGAACCGCATGCGATGCGGCATCGCGAACCCTGCAGCAAAAGCGGCATCACCATGTTGGAACCGATAGGGAATGGGCGTTGTGGCGTCGTGCGAAAAGGCAAGATGGACAGGGAGTGGGTTGCTGTCAAGAGCATCAGCACGGAGGTCTCCGAAAAGAGAGAACAGCTAGTGAACGAGCTGCGTGTACTTGCACAGTCCAGCCACTCAACGCATTTGGTACGGTGGATGGGGGCCTTCGCGGCTGAGGACTCCCATGTAGTTCACGTGGTCATGGAGTTTATGGATCTTGGGAGCTTGGCCGACCTTCGAGCACGACGTGCTGGCGGACTTGCGGCAGGCATGCTCTCCAGCATCGCCCGCCAAGGATTGCTGGGCTTAGACTGGCTGCACGAAAACAGCATCCTTCATCGTGATGTGAAGCCAGCGAACATGCTGCACAACTCCAAGGGCACTGTTAAGCTGTTTGATTTTGGCTTAGCCAAGTACCTGAGTGCTGATATGTGCGACACTCAACTTGGCACGATGACGCACATGGCGCCTGAGCGTGTTCTGGGCGAGGCGTACAGTTATCCTTCGGACATTTGGGGCATCGGCTTGGTGTTTTACGAGCTGGCAGCCGGAAGATACCCATACACACAAACTTCAAATATGATTGAATTGTGGCAGGATGTGTGTGAATGGGATATGCCCCCTTTGCCGCCAACCCTCCCTGAATCTATGAAAAGCCTGATCACGGACAAATGTCTTTGCAAAGACCCAGCAAGGCGTTATGCGCTGCATCTTTGCTACAACTGGAGCCGTTGCAACAGGCAAGCAGGGCTCCGGACAGTGAGTTGGCTGCGTGGTTCATTTGCGTCCAGCGCCAGCAAGGGCTGGGCGCATAAATGCCTCTGCCGCGGATGGACTGGACTGCTCAGGCCAAGCGCAAGCAATGCCTGGAACAGTGAACAGTCTTATGTTGGGCTTGCTTGACGGTGCTTGTAAGAAACTTCGCGCCCCTGCAAAGTGCGGCTCGCGGGAGGCAGATGAAAGCACACGCAGCGAAAAGAGCGACTGCTGGGATTCGGCGCCCGTCGCCAGGGGCAATGCAAGGTCTACAGTCTACGGAAGTCTGATGCTGACCACCAGGTTTTCACAAAACCATCGGCGAACTGCAACTTGTTTGCGCCAGAGTGGACGATGAAGGTCTCAAACTTTGCGGCGCTCCGCGGCACTTTGTTTGGCAGGCAAATGTGGCGGCACATCGGCAATACTGTAGCGCATCATGCACGCTGCGCTGGCTGTGGGCGGCAACCACGGAGTCTGAGCTCCAGCATCTCCTCCAATCTGGCTGGCAAAAAGGAACTTCGTCAAACGTGTGTCTCCCAACAGGGCTTCCACACACGTTGAGGGATTGGCTCGACTCAGTTGTAGACGATTGCCCCTTCCGTTTTGCATGCTAATCCAACGTTTTTCGCACGCACTTTGGCCACCGCACCTGCGATTTTGAAGCATGTACTGTGTGGAAGTTTTGATGCGATTTGCAGGTGACGTGGCATGATGTCGCGGCAGATCTTCTGAACCATAGTTGCGGCCACCGAGGATGTTCCTCCCATCTACTTGTAAGGGTAGCCAGATAGTCCCCTGGATGTCCAAGGCGAACATGCCGGTATCTACTGCCAGACTGTACAGTGTGCAGCGTGCGCGGTGCTGTATAATGCCGGCTGCAGGCACGCCGACGTGTTCAGCTGTTGATCTTTCATGGGCTCATTTGGGAAGCTTGAAGCCGGCTTGCTCTGAGGTCGCTGGCGCCAGCGACCTCAGAGCTGCCACGAGAGTGCATAATCTCTGCGTGCTTTGTGAGGTGCAAAGTTGATTCGCCCCTTCCCTTCATGAAGTTGTAAAGTTGTATAGTGGGATGGCACTTGGGGTACCATTCAACTCTGCATGATACACGAGGTGCGTTCTGAACTTGCGCGCCATGGCACTTAATAGTGATGCGAGATGTGTGATCACAAGGTTCGTGCTTGTATGAGATGCCAAGATGCAGTCGTTCTTTTCACATGCTTCGGTGGAAGGTAGTTGTACATAGGCATTTCTAGCAAGATGCTTGCGTCGGTCTTCGTTCCCCAAGACTGCTGGGGCTGCTAAGTGTTCCATACACAATCGCATGGTGAAATGTGTGGTCCGACAGCTGAATGCTTGCACACATCTTTTTGCCACGACTTCCGGCAGGTCCGACTGCTCGCTTGCGGCAAAACTGGTCCGTACCGGCTGCTTATACTTTGGCAAGAGGGACCGATGTGTAACCCAGGTCGTGGACTCTTCCATGCGCTCCTCTGCGTGGTATGCTTTGTGGAGGCTCAGATCGCCGCCGGAGCTTCTCGGACTGGATGCTTGCACAGCAACGCCACACGAGAAAATTTCCGAGGTCCTTGGCAGCGCGCTGCATAGCCAGCGGTGCTTCAGTCTTTTGGCCGCTTCCTCACGCAGCCTTCAGTGAGGTCAAGCATTCTCGCGCCTTTTGGACTCTTTCGCTTCCCAAGGCCAAGCTTCTGGCTTTCGCGTGGCCGGCAGCAGCTGCCGTTGGCGCCGGACCTCCGAGAGAGGGTGGTTTTCTCTCGATGTTTTTCAGTGATCTCCAGTCTCAGGCCGTGGATGCCGTGGCCATGCACCTGCACACAGAAGGCTCCTCTTCGGCTGAAGTCTGAAGCCCCTCCCATTCGAAGCCCGCGCCGTGCGCGAGGCCAAAGAGCCTTCGGCTTCACCAAAGTGCTCGAAGTCGCCGCAGCCTCGTGACTCCTGGTCCTCGGACTTGCCGTTAAGAAGCTGCGGCCCAAGGTTCTGTTCACGAACTTTCTGCTCACGCCGGGGTGCCACAGCCGTGAATGTTGCACCTGGCTGCATTCGGTTCCATCCTCTGAGGCTGTTAATGTATCTGACGTCCTTGGTGGCAGTCATGCGCACACCGTCACCGAGCGCAGTCGTGAGGACACCCTGATGGACTGAGAGAAGTGCAAGTGCATGCTGGGAATCACAGGGCCACTGTAGCCAGCCCTGGCAGGCGCGCATCCTTGCGTGCCTTGGCCTATCCGTGTGGCTTCCTAATCACGGCTGCACCCTCAGAAGAAGCTGTCAGCAAGCAGCGCCGTGAGAGAGCGGCTCTTGTCGACACAGGCGTTTCCAGACTGGCTGCTATACATCCGCGTCATCCCGGAAAACTTGTGGCCCCCGCCCCGGACTCGAAGGTGTCCAATGGTGTCCAGATCATCGGCGCCGCAGCCAGGAGTGGCCGGCTTGCGACCTTGGCCATGTACAGCAACGGCGCGGGTACCCAGAGCCCGCAGACTCGCGCGGCCATGCGCTGCGCTGCGCTGCACATGCCTCTGTCGACAGAGGCTGGGTGAACGCCGCCGTCTACGGCTGCCAGAATCGTCTTTGCAGCTCGGCAGCTCGGCCTCGGAGGAGAAAAAGCCGGATTTATGGCTAAAAAGCCCGAGGCCCGGGGAGCCGGCGCACAACGCCAGGGCTCGCTTTGCAGGGGCGGCGTGGTTTTGGCCTCGGCTTTTTTTGCAGCTTAGGCCTTCCTCCACCTAAGTTCTCTTCTCCTGCAGGCTCTTCGCCTTCTTCACCCTTGCCTTTGCTACCGTCCTTCCACGTCGGCTTCCGTGTGGGTGACTCCCGCTCCTTCTTGCAAACGGCCTGCGCCTCAGTTCAAGTTGTCGCCTGAGCTGACGTCTTGGCATCCGGCTGTTTTTTTCGTCGAGGTCTCTTCTGAAGATCCTTTCGCGGAGGCTCGGGGAGACCCCGTACTCCAGGCTCCAGGCCTCACGTCGCGCTGCCCGGTACCCACCGAAGGAGGAGACTGGAACTGCAAAGGAGCCCGGCATGGCGGACTCTGCGGAGGCCATCCGGTTCGAGTTCCCGGCTTGGTCTCTTTGCTTGTGCCTGCAGGCCGCGAGTGACCCGACGCCTGCATGCGCCAGAGCTGCATGACCCGACGACCCTCCGCTCGCCTTCGGAAGAATCCAAGCGGCTGTTGCTTTCAATGGTCATTGTGCAGCAGTCATGGCAGCACTAGGCCCTACACTAGGCATGTAAACAACTTCAGAGCGTGATTTGAGATAGCCGGATAGAAACTCGCCCCTGGCACGCTCGTTGTGTACGGTAACAGGTTGAGGCGACCTAGGACTGTAGGGCAACTCACGCCAGGACAGCAACAAGTGTCGACATCAATGGAAACCGGCATAATGACTGATTTGGATCAGGCGTGCTTTGGGCCTTGTCACACAAACTAGCTCGTCCAAGTTCTCCAAGTGAGTTGTGTTTCCTGTACATCGCGCGTGACACGAGGGGTAACGAGTCTCAACAAATCTTGTTTTCAATCTCCACGGTGCCATGACAGCACCAAGCGAGGAATGTCAGCACTATCAGTCAATGAACTAAAGTGTAGTACTGCTCGGGTGAGAGGGTGCGCAAAACATTGTGGAATGAGTTGTTTTTTCGTGATGTAGTACTGCACGGGGGCTCGGAGGAGGGTGCGCAAAACATTGTGGTGGGATGAATGGTTTTTCGGTGATGTGGTTGCTGCACGGGGGCTTGGGAGAGAGCGGGGACAGGGTGAACAAAACATTGTGGAATGAATTGTTTTTTGGTGACGTAGCTTTGCTCGGGGGACAGGGTGCGCAAACATTGTTATGGAATTGTTTTTTGGCCGGGGGGGAGAGGGTGCACAAAACATGGCGGTGGAATGAATTGTGTTCTGGTGGTAGTTACTGCGCGGGGTCTCGGAGGAGAGGGGGGTAGGGTGCGCAAAGCATTGTGGTGGAATGGATGTTTTTTGGTGATGTAGTGCTGCACAGGGGCTTGGGGGAGAGGGTGCGCAAGACATTGTGGTGGAATGAGTTGTTTCTTGGTGATGTAGTACTGCGGCAACAGCAGCTTGATCTCGTACAAGCGGCTTTTTTTCCACCCGCTTGAGGGTGCTGTATGCCCCTTCTGGAGCTGTAGGGCCGTGCTCCCACAGTGACCGTAGCCAGAGAGCAACGTGGACTGCGAAGGGGCACCACGGAGTGCAAACACAAGGGTTTTGAAAGCGACCATGCACAACGTGTCGAAAAACATAGTCGCGAACTTGTCCTTATCGCTGGCGCAGAGGGAGCTGTAGACCTTCCACTGGCTTCCACTTTCGCCCAACTCCAAGAACAACTGCCACAACTCATGACAGGCAGATTCGACAGCCGTGTCTCCTCATGAAGTTGCAAACTGTTCATGTGCGATGAAACCTCATCGAGCTTGGCTGCCCTCGTTCGGCGGCGCGCCGGCCCGTTAACACAACTTACATCGCCCAAGAGACAAGAAGATGACTGAGGAACGACGGGATCTGGGCTACAAGAATCGCATGCCATGTCTGACCGCAGCCATACACGAGCTTTGAGCCGCATCCCACAATGCTTGTAACTTAGAAGAGAGCACGTTCGCTAGTGTGTTGCCCCCTGCAAGCATCCCGGAACCCCTCAGGTGAACCCCAAGCATTGGTCTCGGAGTCGATGCCACAGCCCATAATGCAGCTGCGAGCCTCCGGACTGAGGGCATTCACCAGCCAGTGCTCATTTAGGAGAACATTCATCACTGATAACTGCCAACGAACCATATAGCGGCTGCTCCGCGGCTGCGGTCGATCAGCACAGCCGAGGCGGGAGCCCATAGCACGCGCACGCCCACATTTAAGACCTACACAAAGTGTTGAATGAGCACCCATGAAGACCTCAGACCTTGATTGCTATCCGCAGCAACCCAACAGCAACGTCCGAAACCTTGCTTGAATCGAGACGGGGAAAATAGCCTTGTCTGTGACAAGTCGATGAACGACACGCTGCGGCACACGTGGCCACACGTTCCAAATTTGGATGCAAGAAGCTTTAATGATGAGGAGGATAGGAGCCTTGTTGACGATGGTGACGACGAGCATGGTAATGATGTGGTGGGGATAGCGCTGAGCCTTCTGATGTTGATGACTGCTGATGGTGTCGCTGGTCGATGAGAAGTCCGCCTGTTACGAAGTCCGGAATGCGGTCGGCATCGTTTTGCCGGTGGCAATGGTGGCAGATTGCCTTCACGTGCTTTCCATCTTCCAGCACCGGGTCAGTATGTCCAGTGCGCGAAAGTCACTACAGCCCGAGGCCGAGTTGTCTGAGGCTGAGGCTGCAAAGCTTGAGCGTCTGGGGCCAGCACATTCCCAAGCCCGTGGATGTCAGGTTGCCACGAGTGGTGTACACGTCAGAAAATTCGGCTGAATGCTTTTTGGGTGGGTCAGTACTGCTGCACAACAGCTCAAAAAAGCTCAAACAAACTCTTGACGAACACTGCCTGATCCCATGTAGCCAGTGCCGCAGGGGGGAGAATGCAGAGTGTGCAAGCATCTTTTGTTCTATCCAAGCCTTGGTGAAATCACGCGACCAGGCTCAAGTGAAAGACATCTTCATCCGCAGGCCGAGATACTTTGCAGAAGCGGGAGCTGCATCTGGGCAGTACTGCGACTGTCGGAGTGCTGTCGCAACATCCGTGTCGCAGTCTTCGGCTTTCTAGACAGCAATGTGTTTGCTATGCCAGTTGGGATTGTAATTACTCCTGAACACTCGTTCCTGCCGTATGTGTTTTACCGTCGTAGGCCTGAGAAGCTGATCATGTCGCCAAAGTAACCATCGTGTGACTTCGATTCATGCAGTCCGTCTGCACCGTCTGTGGCCCTATGTGAAGCATGCTTCGAGTTGTGCTTTGTGTGCTATGGGTCTTGCCCGCACCGGGCAGTCCTGATGTTTCAGCAGTCACGTTGCAGCTCGATGGCGAGCAGAGGCAACTGACCTGGGACGCGGAGCGCGAGGATGTTGCGGTGAAGATCGGTGAGTTTCTGGAGGCACATCGTTCTGGCGAGCCTGTGAGAAACGACGTGGAGCTCCTTTTGCGACAGCTGCGAGCTCAAACGGCACGCAGAAAAGCAGACGTTAGCACACTGCCTTCCAAGAATGGCGGGTCAATCAAAAAGGTTCTCCCCCCAAGGAAAGGAAGCCAGATTGCACTTTACAATAGCCATGAGGCGAACATTGCTATCAGCATTGATGGCCGAGTGCAGTGTGTACTCGAGCTTGAGCGCTTGTTCGGAGTGCGGTACTACACCCCGTCTCTTTCAAACGCGACGGAGCGGCGGCATGCGTGGCTCGAGGCGGCCAAGACCATCAGAGACCGATGCGAGTGCGAGGGAGGCCCCGGGAGCTGTCCTCGGCGCTTCGACTCGGGCATCTTGGTCCGTCCGAGCTCGGAAGCTGAAGCGAACATCATCGAAGAGGTCTTCTCCGTAGATGAGTGGCGATACATAGATCATCAAGAAGCGCATGCCGTAATGGCTTATTATGCATCTTCCATGCGGACAGCCCTTGTTGTGGTGAGCGATGCAGCCTTTCATGTCTTTCATGTCTCTTTGGGAAGTGTAAAACGCATCGCAAGCCTGGATTACGGCTTGGGCACCATGTACATGCTCTTGGCTGGACTGCTGCCGGAGGTAACTGGTCAGCCTTTGGATGCGAGATGTCAATACACCGGGAAGCCGGAGAGCGGCCCTCTCTTTCCAGAGTTTCTGTCTGGAGACTTGCATCTGCAGTGCCTCAGCTGGGCGGGAAAGCTCATGGGCTATGCCGCTGCTGGCACTGCTTCGGAAGATTTGCAAGAGGTCGCCCGGGAGGCCTTCGAAGTTTCAGGTGCCATGCCGAAATATTCCATGGAGCACATCATGAGCGTTACCTTCCCCACGACGGAGTTGCCAGCACGATTCCAGGATGCCCTTCAGCAGGTCTGCGCTTCAGACGAGGGCCAGCGGAACTTTGCCGCGTCTGTGCAGGTTGAGTTTGAGAGGATAACCAACTTGACAGTGACCGAGCTGGTCCGTCGTGTGGGGCCCCAGAGCCTGGATGGTGTGGTGATGACAGGCGGCTGCGCGCTCAACGTCCTGGCGAACCAGCGCGTCTATGATTTTCTGGAGAGGGGAGAGGGAGAGACAGCGGGCTCAGTGGAGGTCTGGGTGCCGCCGTCGCCCAACGACGGGGGCTTGTCCATCGGAGGGCTCTGGTCCGTGGCCCCGCCCTTGGCTCGGCAGCCGCTCCAGTACTTGGGCTTTTCGCTTTGGGATTCGGAGGTTCTGTTGGAGGAAGCGCATCAGCGAGGAGCGCGGCGGCTCCCGGAGTTGGGTGGCGTTGACTTCTTGGCGGAGCTCCTGGTCGGGGAAGGCGCTCTCTGGGCGGAGCGGATGGAGCGTTTTGGCCGGCCGGCTCGGCCCATCGTCGCTGTGGTCAGAGGCCGCCAGGAATTTGGGCCAAGGGCGCTGGGGCATCGATCCCTCCTGGCCGTGCCGGATGCCACGATGAAAGACCGCATGAACCGTTTGAAAGCGCGGCAGTGGTACCGCCCCGTGGCACCGATGATCGCAGAAGAGGACCTGGTCGAAGTCTTCGGCCGGCGCATTCTTTCGCCCTACATGAGCATGGCCCCGGAGGTCCTCGAAGAGACGCGGAAGAAGTTCCCTGCTTTAGCGCACTTCGACGGCACTGCACGGCATCAGTCAGTCAGCCGAGCAGACGAACCCTGGGTCCACGCTCTGTTGCTGGCTGTGGGAAAACGCACGGGGCTGGCGGCTCTGATCAACACCAGCTTCAACACAAAAGGCAAGCCCATCGTCAACACTGTGCGTGAGTGCCTTCGCATGCTAGACGAGCTCCCGGATCTTGACTACGTGCTGATCGAGGATTGGCTTTTCGAGAAAGCTCGGTCCTGATGCAGAAGACAGCGCTGTCATCTGCACCGACGGCCAAAAGACAAGTGTATTGCAAGACTGTGACTCCGTTGTGGGAGGGTGTTTAAAGCACATAAGAAGCCGTACAGCAGTGGCAGCCAAGTCGCAGGGGCATTCAGCACATAAGCCAGATGTAGCGCTTGGTGGACTGTAGGGGCGCTTATTCGTGGCGAGGTTCATATGAATGGACGATGGTTTTAATTGGCCCCTCTTGACCTTCCAGCCTTTCCCCGAAACCCAAAGCACACAACCAGGTTTGAGTTTGAGGCCCATCATTGCCAGGCTGAGGCCGATGTCCAGAGTCACGAAGATGCCGTGCCGTGCTGAATGCTTGCCCCTGTGTGGTAAATATTTCGCACCCTCAAACTGTTTCTAGATCTTGCAGAGTGGTTGCCTGGCACCGCAGGAGAGGACCATGGCTTCCTAGTCTCCCTACCATCTCGCAGCCATTATTGGATGTTTTTTCCACCCGTTCGAAGAATGCAACTTCACGGCCATTTCAGCCTGCCATTCAGCTCGCACTGGCTCGTTTCGGCCGTGACTTTGTGCCTGCATCAGGCCGCGAAGTGAGCGGGATCTGCCACCAGAGGCAGCGTCGCGGGAAAAAAGAGAGGAGTGGCTTCGTTGCATTCAGGTTTTTGCTTCCGAGGCAACACTGCCGTGTGGGCAGCCGTCAGGGTCCAGGAAGCCCCTAAACCCGAAAATCCAACTGCGCATGCTTTATTTCAAAAGCACCAAAATGCTTTTTCCAGCCTTGGAAGGTTACCCCACAGCAGAAGCACAAGAAGCAATGCTCGTATCGCAACTTCAAAGAATGTTGATGATGTTGCATGTTCAGGATGTCAGCCGCCACAACCGTGTCTGGAATCTGCAGGCAATTTCATGGCAATCAAACACAGTACATTCGGGGCTGAGCATCTCTTGAGCATGCTCGAGCTATGGCAACGTGGTTTGGCACAGATGGCCCAACACCTGTGTGCTTGGGTCCCGCCTCTCGTCGTCCTGTATGCTTTTGCTTTCTCTTGGCTCTTGGTGGTGTCTTGAACGTCACAGCTCAGGTCCGCATCGAGAAGTGGCGCAAGCAGCCGCTACGAACGCTGCTCTGTGGTCTGAAGGGTGTTCCTGGTGTGAAGAGCCCGGAGCAGAAGGAGGCACAGTGCGGCACAGCTCGGGAGAAAGAGAGAGCGTAGACCTGGGCTTGGCCATGCTTGGCATCCCCCGGAGGTGCGACCGGGCCTTGTGGCCACGCTTTGTGTCAGCAAAGGCTTGCCGTCGCACTCCGATTCGAGCACGCTGCTTCGTGTGCGAAGTGGGCAGGCGGTAGGTGGCATTTTTGAAAAAGCTACGTGTGCTCTCTCCATGGCAGGTGTTTGTTTTGCCTGAGGTTTTGTGCTGGAGTGCGCTTCACGGAGACGCCGGGCTGGTCCGGCTACTGGTGTTGTCCGATCGACTTCCGTGTGACGCTCCTGGGCGAAAGAACCGAAAATCTTTCTCGCACAGTGAGATGGATCGTGACACCTGGAAACAATGCACCTTGGCGGCCATGGTTGTTTGGTTGCCAAAAGTCGACAGGCCTGTTCTGGACCCTTGAGTGTGAGTTCCAGCTTGGCGCAGGGGTCGGGCACACGATCTCTGCGTTTGGAGCCTGCGGTATTCAGTATAACAGTATGTGGGACTCAGAAGACCCTGTAAACATATACATAGTTCGCAGACCAGATATGTCCTGCCTACTTTCAGTTGCAGTTGCCTACATGGCCTACATGAGCATGATGCGAGCCGAAGCAGCTGGCCTCGCGAGGAAGTCTTCTTCCCTGTCCTACCTCTGGCGGATGTGGAGCGTTTTGTTTCCAGCAGCGGTTCCTTGAAGCTGAAGGCCGAAGTCCTGTTTCATTTCACGATCAGCAAGGTGCCCCGGACTTTCCACCGTTCGTGCAGGCTTAGGCTTAGGAGTTACGGAAGGGGTGGCCAGAGTCGGGGTTGTCCGACTTCAACGCAATTGAGATGGAAGGATGGACGAGTAGTGCGTGCTGTTCGGGCACATGAAGCGTGTCATCTCCCGATCAAAGCAAGCCGGCTCGGAGCGGTAAGAGCGGTACTGGTAGTTGGTATACTGGCACTTCGCAAGAGCCCCGGGGCCTGAGGAGACCTTCCCGAACACTCTTGCAACTGCTGTGCAAAGCCCGACACTGTCGGCAGCTTGGCGCTCGATGGCTTGTTTTTGTTTTCAGGACGCCCCTTGGGTTTTGGGTTTTGTGTGTTTGATTGTGTTTGTGCCGACTTCACAGGCCCTGCTCTGGTCTTGGTGCTTGCTGGGAGGGGCTGCTCTGAAGCAAGCGGCGGCTTGCCAAAGCCAAGAGCACTCCATTCTCCGGGATCCCACGGCGCAGGCAAGGACCCTTTGGAGTTGGCTGGGTGTGGGCTTGGGCGGCTGTGTCTGCTTGGGCTGGTCCTGAGCAGGACAAAGTGGTTGGATCCGGGCGCTTCTCCGGCTCCGAAGGCTTTGCTCTGGACGCCTTCCTCCTCCATCCAGGTCTGCTGCCCCCTTCGCAGCCGCAGCATCCGGAGGCGGCGGAGGTGCTACCCGGCATTCTCTACATCGCAGCGGAAGCCGACACTTCGGTGACGCGGCTCTGGCAACTTGGGGTCCGCTCGGTGCTGGAGCTGGAGCTGGAGACGGAGGTCGCAGAGTCAGAAGCTCTGCCCTCCGAGATCCTTGTGAAGGCGGAGTTGCAGGAGCTTCGGTTGAGTTTCTGAGTTGTCCTGCGCTTCGAGAAGCTTCTCGGCAGGAGATCATCCTACCTGATTTGGATCCTTGCGATGGACAGCGGAAGCCGAAGGTGTCGTCGTCCCCCTCGCAGTGGTCGTGTGGGAAACGCCTTCGGGACGTCGTCGCCGCCGCCGAAGAGCTCCTGAGAGGCGCTGCTTTCGCTTCCGCCTCCGAGGCCCCCAGCGAGGCCTTTCTTTCGAGCTTGGCGCTGCTGCCGAGCCCGCGGAGCCCGCGCTCTGCTGCTGAGCTTTGTGCCGCGGTGGTCGTCGAACTCCTGGCTAGGCTCTTCTTCAAGGGCGAGAGGAGGAGCCATGCTGGCGGAATAAGGGGCATGAGGCGCCACGGGTTTCGAATGACACTCGAACTTACTGTCTTCGAGTGCAAGCTCACAAGGCTCACAACTGAGAAGGTTCTCAGGTTCACTGTAAAGCTACTGCCAAAGCGTGCAGCAGTGAGCTTTCGGGTAGGCCCTCTCTCGCTCTTTTATCATCGTAATTAGTCATTGCCGTACTGCGCCCAGACATGTCAACGACTTTGACTGTGTAACGCTCAGAAGCTGAGCGTCTTTTGAGTCACTCGCCGCCCACCTGCTTCTTGCAGGAGCAGGCCCACCGATTCGGCTGATGTTCCGAATTCGAACCTCGATCGATGCGTGGGCGGCTTTTGCTTTTTGTTTAGAAGGCTATGTACCCTGCTATTCTAGGTTTAGATCTTTGCGGCGCATGGCCTTTTTCCTACGCTGCATAGCGCGGTCACCACTTCTGCTGGGCTTTTGCTTATCGGTTGTTACAGCCCTTGTAGTCTCCGCTCTGCTGGCCGTGCCCAGGACACCCTTCTTGGAGGCACGAAGATATCTGAGCAGCCGATGGGACGTTCCCGTCCGTGACTGTTGGATGGCCGCCCTGGCCTCTGAAAGGCACATGTCGCCGACTCCAGAAGCAGAGTTCGAGGCTTTGGATGACACGCCAAAGCGAGCAGGAGCCTTCCTTGCAGAGTGGTTTGCAGCGGGTTTGGGCGTGCGGAGGCCCTCCCTGGCCTCGCTGCGTCTCTGGGACCTCCCAGGCGAAGTGGAGAGTGGGGAGCCATCGGAGTCGTCCTGGGAGCCTTCGGAGCCTCTGGTGCCCTGGAAGCCGAAGCCCATGGGGAGCCTTCTCCACGTGCAGGAGCCGGGTTGGGGAGCGGTGCCGGAGATCTTCCGTGCCTACACAGCCTGGCGGCTTCGCCGGAATCCCCCGAAACGGAAGTCCAAGTCCAAAGTCTTCAAAGATTCCACGTGCCCCGAAAACCACGTGGGACCTTTAGGGCCCTTGGTGACGCTTTGCTTCTTGAAGCGCTTGCTTCCAAACGAGATTCTGGCATTCCCGCATTCCTTCAAAGAGGAGGAAGGACATACTTGGCATCTCGTGGCTCTGCTATGCCACTCGACCAGGAAGGAGGAGTTGAAAGGAGATTCACGGCACGTGTCTGCAAGACGTCGAACGCTCACGTTCCTGCATGGTGCCCAAGAATGGGTGCTGGATGGGGGGCAGATGCACGAAATCCATCGCTGGCAACTGCCTGGCTCTGTGCCCAATGCATGGCTGTGCACACGAGATCTCACTCCGCTGCTCGCAGTCTACAGCACGCATGCCCCACGAGGACACCTACCGGCTCCTGCCGCGCGAAGCCGCCTTCCGGCCATACCCGCGGGCTGGCTGCAGGACAGTGACCACCTGCACGTGCGCATCGTGACGGAGAAGATGCTTCAGACGACCCGGGGCTCCTTTGCCGGTGGCCACGAAGTGCCTGCATCCGCCGAGCTGAAGCTGCCGATAGCTGCATCCCTGGAAGACTTGAAGCAACAGGTGCACCAAACTCTGCGCATTCCCGCCGAGCGCCAGCTGCTGTTCCAGATCCCCGACTGCACGCCGGCATCCGGCAGCTCGTGCCCCTGGCTGGTGCCAGTCCGCAGCCCGCTTTCTACGTTGCTTCCCTTGGCCGTGGCACATGGAATGCGCGTTACGCCTACGATTCTCTTGATGTTTCAATCCAACGATGTGGACCCTGCCTCCATCTCATCCATGTTGGGCTGGCGTGTGCCAGACCATGACACAAGTGAGGAGCCAGATCGGATACCCCTTCTTTGCAGGTATTTCCAAGCGGACACCTTAAGCCAGAGCGTCTTGGGTGTCCTTCTGTGCTCTCCAGCAGAGAGGCTGGGAAAAGAACACCACAGCTGGTTGCAGAAGCGCATCTCGACCCTCTCCCTAGCGGCGGGTGCGGGTGGCGGGCCCGGCGCTGGGCCCTTGGCCTTGGCTGCCTCTCTGGGTGCGGGTCCAGGGAAGGAGCCCTCGAAGCCTCTAAAGCCAAACTTCCTCCGCATGGATCGGCCACTCAAAGAGCAGCCGCCGCCTCAGAAAGAATTTGTCCCCCAGAAAGAACGACAGCCAGTCCCCCCTTTGCTGGTCGAGGTGCCCCGTGCGAGTCTGCTTCGGAGCAGCCGTGGATCTGGAAGCCGAAACCTGGCTGCACCGGAGCAGTACACACTTGCAGTGCCGCCTCGACTCATGCTACACGCCGACAGTATGTGGGCACGAGCACTTTCATCGGTGAAGCAAGAAGGAACCTATGGACGTGCGCTTATCTACATGCAGGCCTGCTTGCCTGCTTGCCTGCATGAATGCATGTATACACATCTGCATGCAGCAGACTTTTGCATGCATCTCTGCTAATCTACATGATCCAAAATGCATGAGCACAGACAGATGCGCGGAAATGCAGAAGAGCGGAAAGGCCTGAATGGACGCACGACAGCGACGCAGCGGGGGGGGGGGGGGGGGNNGGGGGGGGGGGGGGGGGGGGGACCCGTTCTGAGGCGGAGTTCGGCCCGGTGCCTGGCTCGGAGCCGGAGGAGGCCGGGAGCAGGTAAGACAATGGCGGTATCTCCACGTGCAGATCTTGAGTTTGGGGTCTCTGTTGAATCGCTGGCCTTTGGAAAGCCGGCCATGGAGGAATGAGGTCACGATTGCAGAGGAAGATGCGCCCGAAAAGCTTGGAGTTCGACAGCAAGTCGCAATGCAAGCAAGCAGCGTAGCACGCCGACATTACATGTAGGGAGGTTCTTCGAATACGTCGAAGTTGGAGATTCTATCGTGCAGGTTTAGTCCCTGGTTTTCGGGGGCAGGCAGCGGATCAGCCGAAGGCCGCAGAGCCCGCCGCAGATGCCGCAGAGCCCGGAGAGCGGCAGCGGATGAGCCTCGGCTGAAGCTCGGGCTGGGAGGCCTGGAGGGATGCGTGCATCACTGGTTCAGAGCCTGCTTGGGGCTGTTGGCAGAGGCACCCAGCATGTGAAGGCGCGGTGCTGGCAGCATCTAGCAGCTAGCAGCACGTTGGCATCAGTTTCCCTGCAGCAGTTTCTGGCTCCTGTGTCGGATCGTAAGCGAGCTGCTTCTTGACCGGTCAAAGATGGCACACACACTTTGTCGGCGGGGGCCATCTGCGGTGTCGGCGGCACTGCGTTCGAGTGCAGACATGGGAGACCGTCCCGAACTGTGTAAACTGCACCTCCAGACCCAGGAAAACTGAGGGCCCTGCAGAATTGCCGGATGCGATGTGCGCGTTGGTCAGGCACAAAGCCCTCACGCACAAAACGTCTATCATTTTGTGCGCATACATACAGGCCACAAGCGAAAAACAGGAGGCTCCGACAGATCTTCGTCCCTTTTTGGGGACTGGTGTTTGGCTATACCGGGCAGGGAGGTGTACTGTATGGGGTTGAGGCTGACGTAAAATGAAACAGGGATTACGACAGGCTTCTGGGCACCTGCTCTGCTTGCGGCCCAGGATCGGGTGCCTCTTCCTGCATACCGATGTGGGGCCACCCCATTCAAAGACGAAAGACGGGATCCAGCTGTCGGTATGGCGGGCCTTTGCAAAGGCGCTGAGAGAGGTCAGTGGCTCCGGTTTAGAGGTGGACCTGATCGCCGCGAAGCCTTGCAGATACCACACAGCAGCAGCCGCAGACATGCAGCCTTCCAAGCCGCAGGAACCGAGCTCTTCACCGTTGAGCCTTGTGCTTTTCCAGCTGGAGCGGCCGAGCTTCTCAGCGGAGCGGATAGCTGAGGCCGTGTGCCGAGGCTTTGCATCTGAGGCCGATTCAAAGGCTTCCTTCTGCAGGGGGAGGCTGGCGCGGCATCGTCCCCGGGAGCTGTTGCTACTCCACGGCACGCGCTTTGGGGCCCAGGCGCACCTGTGGAGGAGCCTGGCTCCTGGCAGCGAGGCAGTGCTCCGGCTCGGTGGGCCGATCCCCTGGGACTTTCTGGCCGCTTTGGACTTCTTTGAGGTGCCCCGCTTTGTGGATGTGAAGTGCGTGCAGATCGGGGCTTCGGGTCTGCTCAGGGCCGAGTGGGCCTTAGCTCAGAGCGGCTCGCCAAGCCTTGGCTCCTTGGAGTGGAAAGAAAAAGCCGATCCCCCTAAAAAGAAGGCCAAGGCCAAGGCGGAGGCCGAAGCGGAGGCGGAGGGAGCCGCGCAGGAGGAGGAGGAGGCGGAGGCGGAGAGCTCGGAGGACGAAGAGGTTGCCGAGGGCGAAGAAGGGCCCGGGCCCCCGCAGCTCTGGGGGATCATCAGAGCCCGCAGAAGGAGGTGGGCTGACGAGACGGATTCTGACGAAGGTCAGAAGAAGGCACCCTTCGAGTCTCAGAGAGTGAAAGTGCAGAAGACGAGAGCAGAGAACTCCACTCGACAGGTGGTTCGGATGGCACATGCAGACTCGCTACCACCCGAATCAGCTACAAGCTCGTTGCCGGAAGCGTCGCCGAAGGCCCAATCTCCAGGCGGGGACTTGGGCTAAGCCGAGCGCCTTTCCTGCCGCGCCTTCGCCTGTGCAGGCCCGAGCAGTGCCAGCCCTTCCAACAGCATCAGGCTAGGCCCCGGTTACCTCGGGGCTCTCTTTTGATGGAAATTGACAGCGCTCGTTGCGAGGCCCGGGCAGAGCAAGTTCGCGACCAGCTTCGGCAGCCCCAAGTCGCAGATGCTCTCGTCCTCTTCCTGCAGCCCAAAGCACCAGAACTTCCCGTCCACCGACCAGGCTCGGATCAGCTTCTGGGACTGGGACTGGGGAAGTTACGTCTCCCGTTTCAGGAGACGTCCGAGGCGACGGGAACGCACTCGCCTTCCCCAGTTTCCAAGCTGCTTTTAGGGCGCCTAAAACCGAGGGGGGCTTTTCTTGTGAGCCGCGAGTTACCGCTAGTGATGCTACTCTTAGTGGCTACTTTGCACGCTGGGGCACTGCATGGCACTGCAAGTAAGGAGCCGGAGGGGCCCTGGGGCTTGCCAGCGACCTCTATGCATTGGAAGACCTTCGTGCGGAAGACTGCCGAGGTAAACGACAGTCGAGGCTTGGACTGGAGAATGGAGTTCGCGGAGCAGTGCCTGTAAAGGTCTTGGAAGTTGGGATTCTGGGGCTGTGGTTGACCTGAAGTAGCAGGTGTCAATCCAAGCTCGTCGCTGGCTTTCTCTCTCTTTCTCGCTCTCTCTCTCTCTCTCTCGCTCTCTTTCTTTGGCGATCTCGCTCGCGGCTTTTTCGAGTGCCTTCCACTGTGCACCCGCTCATGTACTCAGCCAGTCACTCAACTCCTCATGTAATTCTCGTACACTTCTATGCACTGCTTACTCTCTTGCTTTCTTTCGCGCCTTCACTCAGCCACGCACTCACTCAGCCACGCATATTCAGCGAGTGAACAGCTTTTCATAACTTGGCTCCACGAGCTCATGCGGCGCAGCGTGCTCGTTGGAGCACAGATCTCCCTCATTCCATGTGTGCCGCAACTCGTCATGCGCTGTCGGCCTATGGGCCTCTTGTGCTGAGGTGTGGAGGAGACCTGTGAACCACGGGGTCGCAGCACAACTCCAGCCGGAGCATTGGGAGCACGCGCAGAATGTCCGCCGCTCGCCAAGTTGGGCATTTGCTTCGAGGGCGCCGCGAGGGCAGAGCCCAGTGTGGCCCGGGCGCGCCGCTCCAACGACCCGGGCCCGCCCTCCCAAGATGAGGAGTCTGCGAACGTGAAGCGATCCTTGGGCCAAAGCATGGAACAGGTGCTAGGGCTGCTTGCAGAGGCTCGGACCTTGGGGCTGGTGGACGAAGTGAGGAGTGCCGAGAAGCGCCTCAAGGCCGCGATGCTCCAAAGGTTGGGGCCCGCGCCCTCGCCGTCGCCTTCGCCAAGCTACCCAGCTCCCGCATGCGGCTCTTCCGGTGCCGCCTCAGGCGGGGCTGTGCTTTGGAATGGGTGAGACATTGCGAGAAAGCAAGCCAGACGGGATATACACGAGCAGACCCCTGACACAGACACACCTTGTGGCATCGGCGCAGGGGAGCTCAGGGATAGACAAGCCTGAAAAAACGTACGGGGCGACAGGGCTCGGAACCATCAACAAGACAAGTCTCCACAGCCCCGACAGCCACCGAAGGCTAGGGCATAGGTATTTCCGACAAGCTCTGCAAACATTTAAAGCTGGAAACACAACCCCAACCATGATACTTATCAGCGACGACGTTTGGAGCTTGCAGAAGGCCTAATTTTTCGAGTAGTAGAAGATTTGCGAGTTGGTGTTTCGGGTCGGCTGGCAAGGGTCGAGCGATGCTAAGCTGCAGAGGTGTCGCTTCAGTGCCACGCAGCCGAGCGCTTAGTCGGGCCTCTTCTTGCGACTCCTTCTTCGACGGCGAGGCCCTGCGCTTCGTGCTGGCACCCTCGCCATCGAACACACCAGGTGACATCACTCAGTCGAACTCCCCACGCTCCCACTGCCACACCCCGGGCGGTGCCGGTGCCTATGAAAATGATTACACACAGTACCAACAGTACCAGGCCTACCATGGCATCAGAGGCTCCCACGGGTCCCACGCGCCCAGCGCAGCCAGCATCGACTCGGCGCTGCGAAAGGTGGAACAAGTGGCGGAGGCGCTGCAGGTGCCTCAGGTGCCTCAACCGGGCAGCCAGTGGGTGCAAGCGCAAGCGGCGTCAGAGACCTTCGAGGAAGGGCCTGCGCCGGCCAACGCCTGGCAAGATGCCTTGGCGCCGCTCCTACGTGCCCCAGCCCCAAGCGCACCCCTGCGGCGGCGCAGCAAGCCCTCCGCGGAGTCCGGGCCGAGCTTGGGGTTCATGTGGCACAGCAGCCCCTTTGCCATCTCCAGAACGCCCAACATCCACACACCGGTCTCGCACCACTCCCCCGCCCGCTCCCCGACCTCCTTCAGTGGCTACTGCTCCCCTATCCCGGGCTTCCCGTCTGGAGTGGCCTCTCCCAACCGCCGCTCCGGCTACTCCTCCCCGTCTACCGGCCTGAACGCAGCAGCTTTTTTTACCGGCGCAGCGGCCGCCGCCACCCAGTCCGGGCTCATGCGCCGGCTCATGTCCTTGAGAGAGGCCCAAAAAGGGAGGGACGGAGAGAGTGCCCCCCTTCATTGCCTTTGCATCCTTTCAGGATCCTTTCCCTTTCTTATGATATTTATTCTCCTTTCAGCTATCCCTTTGCTTGAGGCCCGGGGAGAAGAGCGCGAGGAGGACAGCGAGTGGTCCAGCGAGGACCCGTCCGATGGAGAGGGGGACAGGGCCCCGCCCGACCTCTTGGAGCTCTTGTTGAAGCACGCCGAGCGAGTGGCCCCACGCCGCGGGGGGCGGGAGCCGAGATCGCTCTGCTTGGATCTGAGCTCTGTGACTGGGCCACGGGGGAGTTCTTGGCTTTTTCTTTTTGAGACATCCTAAGACCTAAGACGCTTCAGGGCCCTATCGTGCGTTCCAGAGTCTAGAATTGCAGCGGCCGTTCTCAAGGAGCTGTTGCCTGTGCGGCTCCGGGGCCTATTGCCTTGCTACGCGATCCCGTTTCTCAATGCCTGGGTGCAGGCGCTGCTTGCGTGCTCACCACTTTGCCATCTGCTGGCACAGGTCTCCTGGCAGAAGCAGCCGCATCAGCCGCATCAGCGTCCGGCGTACAACTGCCTCATGCAGTTGGCCTGGGAGTTCTACGGACACTCGGAGCTTCGGGGAGCTTCTGCGGGCTCTGCGGGCGTCTTCAATCGCCTGCAGGCCACGGGCGACCACGCAGCCGGTCGTCTGCAGCGAAGCCCGCACCCAAACGAATCCCAGACGAATCCGAAAGGATCCCGAACGATCCAAGTCCGTCAGCGAAGCTTCGGCTTCCGCTCATGTGCGCTCTCCGTCCGAGGTCGACGCGGCTTTCCTCGCCGAGCCGCTGCTGAGACGATTTGAGAGGGGGAAATCGGTGCAAGAGGCGCCGGTTTTCCCTGACCTTGTCGGTCCCGACATGTTCTCCTGCTTCCTGCGGTTTTTCCTTGGTGAGCTTCATGACGAGTGCAAGTGGCCAACTCTCTCCGCGGTGCCTTACCAGCACGAGGACTCACCGATGATGCGGATCTTTGGAGGGCTCGTCCGGAAGTCCTCCCATGGGAGGCGAGTGAGCACCCTCGGCGATGGTCATGCTCACACGGATGTGGCGCCCTTCCTCTTGCTTCACCTGGATCTTGCAGACCCTTTCGGGGATCCCAAAACGCCCATCTCGGTGGAGGCTGCTGTGGAGCAGCTGCTGACGCGACAGGAAGCCCGGTTCCTTCGGCTCCCGCCCTTCTTGCTCCTCCACCTGCACCGATTCCGCACGGGAAGCGACGGCTTGCCCGACCGGGTCAATCGAAAGTGCCCGGGGCCCAGGGGCCTCTACATAAATATACATGTATATTAATATAAAAATATATATATATATATATATATATATATCTATATCTATATATATATATATAGATGTACATATATATATATAAAAATAAAAAAATATATATATTTATTTAACGGTCTCGTGAGAAAACACATGCTAGCCCTGTCCAGTGCCCCAGCATGCCCACCCAAGCGTTCGGTGTTGTGTTTCGTGCTCCCCGAGGTCGCATAGGCCTCGAAATGGAGCTGGAAGAGGCCACGGGTTACACCCTGCGCTCAGCCACTTGGAGGAAATGGATGTGGTGTCCTTTTCGAGCTTTTGACACCCGTTTCGTCTGTCAGGTCACATACCAACTGCGGAGTGCCATTTGCCACTACGGCGAAGTCCCAGAAGGTGGGGCCTACAAGGCCTTCGCGTTGCATTGCGAGCAAAGGCCGGAAAACGGGCAGCGGCCCGGGCCGGAGGGGCCGGAAGGATCCTGGCATGTGCTGGACGACGCAGCAGTGCGCTGCAAGAAGGACATCCAAGAGATAATCGACTCAGAAGGGCACCACGCCTGTCTGCTGATGTTCCGGCGGCAAGACACAAAGACCGTCAATCTCAGGCCGCATGCTGCTTGGCTAGGCTAGACATGGCTAGACCCGGCTCGGGATTCTGTTCTAGGCTAGTTCCACAGCACGCGCAGTCAGCCAAGGCCGTCTTTTCTTGATGGATTGTCGGGAGGCCAGAACAACTTGCCACCCTGCTTTCCAGCACTGTTTGCTGAATGCCGACCACTTTTCGCAGTCTTAGTTGATTGATCATCACCTCATTACGGCGGTGTGCCGGGTTCGAAGAGCACTCTGAGTCTCATGTTTCTAAAGTGATCTGATCATGCAAGCAGTGGTGTACATATTTGCATATTTGGCATCGGTTGGGATCATTGCGCCGAATAGCAGCAGGCAAACAAGCGCAGATTGGCAGGTGCTGACAGGTGCAGGTTGTGTGAACCAGCATATATCAGCATGATAAGCCTTGGCCGGCAGCTTCTTCAGCGAGAGCGCGCAGTGCCAGCTCTGGCCTTTGGGTTCGACATGAGCCGTCACCTCATGCAGATCATGCAGCATGCTGCCCTGAGCAGACTTGCCAGGTCCAGGCAAGGGATAAGGGAACACACGGCAGCGACCCACAGCAGACGGCAGGCTTCGTAGCAGTGCCACATCCCGTAGCTTTGCCATGTGGGGCCGCAGCTGTGGCGTTCGAGCGTTCCGTGTCGCGGTGCTGCCCTTTGAAGCCCTTTGTCTCCGCTCCAACCGGCACATCGCCACGAAGAGGGAAAGACAGAGACAGATGGGTGCGAAGGTACGGAGGGCCAGCTGGGTCAATTGCAGCCGCTCCGCGCGGAGCTGGGTACTGCGAAAGTGATCTGATGTGATCTGCGACACATGTCTTTTGCGGAGGCCAGCCTGGCTGGGGTGCTGTCGAGGTGCCACGTGCTCCTTGGAAACCCCTGCCCACACTGCTCCGCCAGTCCAGGCAGCGCCTCCCGGCGTTCGCGTGCCAGCGAGGCAGGGAGCCTTTGCTCGCAAGTTTCCCGCGGGGGCGTAATTCGACAGTGGACAGTGAGCAATCGTGTGTGCAGAAGCAGGCCGCGCCTTTGCCGAGACCAAGAAGCGGCGGCCCCTTCGACCGAAGGTCGGGGATTGGCCTGGGGATTAAGGCCGGTTCAAGCATGTCCGGTCGGCTGAGCCTCAGGAGGAGCTCTTGAGAGACGCGACGCACCACGATGTGCCCGTGCGCCGAAAGGCATGGACGGCGGAAAACACCTCGACTGCGACATGCGACTGCCACGCCTTGTCAGGCAGTGAAGGACCTTGGCAGATACCCCGGTGACCCTGAGGCCATCGCGGCCTTGGCCAAGGCTCGCGACTTCGGCGGAGTCAAAGGGTTGCGTTGTGCGAGACTGCGTGACTTTTCTCTGTACTGTGGGAGGCCCTGGGTGACGAAGATGTTGCTGTGCAGCTCGCCGCGCAGGGCGCCATGTCCAAAGTTGCCGACATCGGCGACCCGCGCACCGTGCCTTCCCAAGCAGCCTCAATGCCGAAGGAAAAGCCCGAAAACACAATTATTCGTAAGTATTGAGTCCTAGTCCTGTGAGGTCCAGGCGACGTTGGAGCGCGTGTCCAGTACCTGTGCTGCCAGCTTGGTCTCAACTTGTTCCAAGCATAGCCGCTATAGCCGATTCCCCGGCACGACCACGATCTCACACTGGCTTCAAGGAGTGGACGAGGATTGCAGCATTGAGCACCCTGGCAGACATCACAGGCAAGTTCGGACACGCCGTGTCCTCAAGCTACGTTAGGCAATCGATGGCGTGTGCATGCAAGGAGTGAACAGAGTGTCTTCGACTTCTTTGCAAGGCCACACGAGGGACGGCGCTGGACCTGCAGGCAATGCTTTGTTTGATTCGTTGATGCCCGCAGCCTTTCCTGCAGTGTGCGCCGGTCCGAGCCGGTCCGAGGTGGAGGAGGCCGTTAAGTCCCGACTAACAGACGAGGACTGGGGAGTTTGGAGCCCAGGGAGGATGAAGGCCAAAGTTCCCATCTTCCGCTCTCCTTGCACTTTCTTGGATGGCGGTTCCGGGCTCCAAGAGAGAGTGCGCTGCCCTGCGCTGCCCCAAAAAAGGGGCCCCCCCCCCTCTCCCCGGTGCTCTCCTCGCCATGGCCCTGGCCCTGGTGGCCGGTCTCCGAGCCCCGCAGCGCCCTGCGCAGCGCCCGGGTCCGGGTCTGTCCCTGCCGGCAGAGGCCAAGGCACCGGCACCCGCAGCGGCCTCTGGGACGGTAGGGCCTCTCCTCGCTCATGCTCGGACTTCGACCGCTTCGGGTCTCTTCGTTGCGTCCCTCGCGTCCCTCGTCGCGCGGAGGGGTCCAAGATGGCTGAGGCAGGACTTTCTTGCGATGGTCTTATGCACTTGTGTGGCAGCCCTTGTTTTGTCCTGTGCTCCTGTGTTCGTGCTTTTGAGGAGGCGTGGATCCCGGATCGGCCTCCGTGCGGGTGCGGTCACAGATACACTGAACGTCACAGAGGTCTACAGGCTCCTGAAGCAGGCTCCGACGACGCGGCATGCTCTTCAGCTGGCATCGCGCCTGCGTAAAGCTGCCAGGGACGGGAAGCGCACGAAGGAAGGGCGCATGCTAGACCCCGGCATCGTCGATGAAGCCTTGGATGTGCTTTTGGAGAACAATGCGAGGCTCCGAATCCCGGTGAAGAAAGTGCAGAGCATCTACGACGAGGACGAGGACGAGGACGACGAGGAGCTCTCGAACCCCTTCGCGAAAAAGCGCAGGCCGCAGGATGCGCCTTGGGCGGAGGAGGCCTTCCCCGAAGCCTCCGAGGCCGCGGAAGCAGGCGATCCGACCTTGCTGGCTCAGGCGGCAGCCGCCGAGGAGGCGGAAGACCGGGCCGAGGAATTCGGTCGCGCCACCGCTGAGCAGTTCGAGGAGAGGAAAAGAAGTCCGGAGCCGCAGCCGCAGCCGGAGCCGAAGGCACCGCCCCGCTGGAAGTCGGGGTCTTCCCCTGAGACAGAGACAGAGAACGAAGAGGACGACGGCGACGTGCCCTACGAGCTCTGGGAGCAGGTGCGGGGCATTCTGAAAGACGGTTGCTTTGAGCTTGAAACCTGAGCTCAGCATCGACAAGAATCGTAGGAAGGACTGACAGAGTAGTTGATAGTTGATATAGTTGTTGTGTTGCCAGCAGCAGCGGCGAAGGTGATTTCCAAGAAGTTCAACGTCGTTGACAGGGTTTGGAAAGCCCCAACTTCGACGGACCTCCCTAGGGTGCCTAAGCTGAGCGAAGATGCGATGGTTCCTGAGAATGCATGGCTGAGAATGCCCCACATTGCCGTGAACGGCATGACGAACTGCGGGAAGTCCTCCCTAATCAACCACGTTGTGAGATGGAACTATGCCGCCAAAGCATCCTCGAGGGCAGGGCGAACAACGAGCATCGATTTCTACGTCGTGAACAACCGCTTCGTCCTGGTCGATTTGCCGGGGTATCCTGATCCCGAGGAGATGGCTCACCAGGGTGTACTAAAGCGATGGGAGGCGGTCTGGGAGGACCTCGTGCTGCGATATCTTCAGATGTGCGAGGAGGGTGTCTACGATTTGCGCCTTATGATGCACCTGCAGCAGAGCCACAAGAAGCCGTCCCGGGCTTGTAGGCGCTTCGTACAAGAGCTACAGGAGCGGAAACTTCCTATGCTCTTGATCATGACGAAGGACGATCATCTCGTGAAGCCACAGGAGCAACGGAACCCTTATGCTACCCAGATGAAAAAGACCTTGCAGCTGGAGGGACCCCACATCCACTACACCTCCAAGAAGGGCTTAGCAATGGCCCGGAATTGCAAAAACCACGTGCAGAAGTGGATTCGGAGGGCAGTGACGGCAGAGAGTGCAGAGGATGTCAAGACGCTCCTGAAGGAGAAGTGGGAGAACCGGACAATCTCTGCCCCCAAGAAGACCGCAGAAGAGAAGCAAGCAAAGATAGACTTCTGGAAAGCCCGGTACAAGAAGATGAGGAAGGAGAAGAAGGCCAAGCGCCGAGGAGAAAGGGCCACCCTCGCCGCCCTGGCGCGCGCCGCCAAGGGGGGCCCAGTCTCTGGTGGTGATCTCGACGAGGACTTTGAGGACGAGGACTTCGACGAAGAGCCCGCTGTAGACATGGACTTCGCCTAGGCGCAAAAAAGGGAAGCAGCTCAGAGGCCGCACTCTCGAAGCGCGTCCGTGACTTTCTTGGAGACGCAGCACGGACCCCATGGAATCGGACTTTCGAAGGGCAGAGGCCAGAAGCCTCGAGGCCAGGACTCAGGACGTGGGGAACCGCGGGCCAGCGGAAGCCTCGAGAACTTGGCGAGGTCAAAGTAGGTACTAAGTCACAGAAGAGAGACAGAGGGAGCTGGCTGAACGAGGCGAAATCGGCAAAATCACTCTTCGCAGCTCCTGCTCTGCCGGATGGACAGCTGAAGCCGAGCCACTGCTGAGGTCAGGCGCGCTGCCATTGACACCATGGCCTCCAGAGCGGCACCGGTGCCTCGCAAAGCGCTGCTGTTGTCTCCGTAGGCTTTCTGCTAGGCTCTCTGCTTCGCTTTCCACTTGGCACTGCAGAGGACTGCCCGGAGACGCTCGCAGCTGCGAAGCGGCTCCTCGAGGCGAGGCACCGGCGCGGAACCCCTGAAGCCGAAAGCCTTTTTGGCAAAGGCTTCCTTTCCCGCCATGTCTTCGCCTAGACAGGACCAGATGGGAACCGTGCGGGAGTCGGCCATCAAGGTGCTCCACGCCGCTCTGTGCATAGTCTTTGTTGAGTCGGCCCGCGTAGGCCATCGCCGCCTTGGTCCCGAAGGGCTCGCGGGAGGCCATCGACTGGATCTCGCCGAGGTGGAATTGGCTTTGAGATCGTCGTGAGAGTACCATGGCTGGTTAGGACCTCCCAACACCCCTGTCACCCTGAGATGGTTGGCAACGGAACATGTTGGAAAGGAATATGGTGCCTCCGGAGTGGGGTGCACGCGCAGGCTCGACGATTGGCATGAGTCCGTGCGCCGGGCGGCGGTCGTCGCAGTGCAGCACCCAGACGAAAATTCCGTTTGAGAGAATCCGCTTCGTCCTGGCCAAGGTTGCCAAGATCGCTGCTGGATCCTCTGTTCTGCTTCTGTCACTTGTTTTAGATTCAAGAGTCATGGGCAATACGGGGAAGCCGAACCAGGAAAAAGGCGATCAGCACGCCATCGAGCTCGAGAAGAGTGCCTGCGATGACAGGCGCGCTGTCAGAAGCCAGAGGTGATCCGTGCCCGGCAGATGTCGCAAGGTCCTGGATCGTGCGGAAGGCAGGAAGCCAGAAAGCGAAGGGTCGGAACACTTAAAGGTTTCTGCGGCTTCGCCTGGCAGGCTGCCACCGACTCGCTGGCCGCTACAGCGACGCTGAACGACCTGCCGTCCCTTCGGAAGCTGGCGAAGATGCTGGAGGAGGGTCCGACTGGTGCAACCTTGGTGTACGTCTGCGTGTTGGTCTCAGGACTTCGATCCTTTGCCGCGCATGGCCGCCATCTATGGCATGGCCGAGCTCTGTGGGGTCGGCCATCGGAAGGCACAGGCCTCAGCAGCTTTGCTGTTTTGCACCCGTCTCGTGCCGCTTGCCACCACCACCACCACCGCCACCACCGCCACCACCGCGCTGATATCGTTGGTATTCGTTGGTGTGCGGCGATGCTACAAGCATTCCATAGCGACTACTGTTCTGCGATTTGTAGCGAAAGCATGCATGTCACGCTGGAGAACAGTTGTTGCCAATGCAACCAACAGTCCATCCTTCTGCGCATGCCGGACCTGCACGAGCTGCGGTGATCAGCTGTCTTTTCTAGTATTGCGCTTCGTCTCCATGTCAATGTGCGCATGTGCGATCTGCATGCGTGGTTTGGATTTGGGCTCGCAGGGTTCGACGCAGGCAAGTCTAGAGGAACATTGATAGAGGAGATCTGACGCCATGCGTAAGTGCCAGCTGAAGGCCTCAGAAGTCGATGCCAAGGACCAGAGCCTTGTGCCACTGGGGCCCGCCGCCTCCCTGCTGAAAGCTATCGTGGCCCACCTTGGGCGCTTGCTCGAGGAGTTGATCCCCATCCCCAAGGAGCACGCCCCAAAGCCGGAGATCTTGGGGAACCCATTTCATGATCGCGCCGTCCAGCAACATCTCCGGAAGCTCCAGAGGTTTGAGATGAGGAAGCGCCTGAAGCCGTGGGAGAGCCGGTCACGGAAGAGCCGAGGAAAACCCTGGCAGTGCTGAGCTCAGACACCGATACACCCGTGAGGGCCGAGGATGACTGAGGAACCAGGGACCAGGGAAGCTCAGGCAGTAGTCTCCGGACAGGCATTGCGCAGGAGAGGAAAGTGAACATGCCACAGTTACAGTAGTATCAGATGGTCAAATATCATGTACAGTGTACAGAACAGCCGATCGCATCTCGTTTGGCCGATATCGCTCGACAGGCAGATTTCAAATTCGCAGCCCCGGAGAAAGGAGCTCGCATGCGTGGCCGTGTGAGATCTTGACTTTCTAGTTTCTAGTGATTCTCGTGATCTGCAACTGTTCACCTCTCGAGGCCATCGCCCTGGCCGAGGCGCGCCTGGAACACCGTGACCCGGGCACGCGCCAGGCCAGGAGCAGAAACATCGCAGACCCTGCGGACAGCTGGGGGGTTGTAACGCTTCGAACATCGCAGATGCTCTTGGGCCAAGAACAGCCGGGACGTAGGGCCTCGTCTTCAAGCTGAGAGCACCCGCAGCAGATGAAGCCCTGTCTGCAAGTTGCATAGAAGCGCGTGCGTTGCCGCCATGGAGCCTTCCAATGGCAAGCGACCTCTGCCAGGGTTCCTGGAAATCAGCGAGGCCCCAGCAGAGAACAGAACGAGGGGATGCTGAGAGGGCACGTGCTGTACCTGCAGGGGCGTCTTGCTTGTGTTTTTTTCAGGAGGCCATGGAGAGAAAGCTGGCGATGTTGCGCCGCTTAGTGGCGCAACCCATCAACGGCCAGGACACTTGTCCATCCCAGGCCCGGCACCACAATGTCACTGCGACATTTTCCCAGCCTTTCGCACGGTACCCTATTAACGGCGCAGGTGGGCGAGGGCTTGTTCGTTGGAAACAAACGTCACGTGCTTGGGACAGTGTTGCGCTTCAGTCATCAGTTCTCTGCTCTGCGCGAATCTGAGACACTGCGCCTTGCTTCAGCCCCTGAGGTCACGCGACGGACGTGCGCACGCTGGTCAGCCTGGGGGTGCCTAAGATGCCTAAGCCGAGACATATTTTTGGTGTCCTGTTGTGGCATGGAAGGATGTCAGATGCCGAGGTCACTGGTGCCATGAACTGTGCTCCGACGGGCATCAGCTCCTTGAACCTGGATGTCTACACTCACCATGGCATGGGGCTTGGGGCAAATTTGCAAGCACGACCGAGTTGATGCGGGCCAATTTGTGTTTTTGCAGACACCTTTCCTTGCCGGGTTCCCTGCCCAGGCATCGCGTACGGCTACACGAATGTCAGCCAGGCGCCATCGGATCTCCGTTGGATGCATTTTTCCATGGGAAACCTGCATTGAGGACGATTACAGCTATCCGATCCTACATGATCGCGAGGGTCATCGATCCGAACACCTGGAGACTGCCAAGTCGTTCTACGACCGAGTGCGGCAAACAGGTGCAAGCGCGGAAGTGTTGTCAGGAGGTTTTGTGCGCTGTTACCTCCGTTTCCGTTTCCCACAAACCAGTGAGCGTATGCGGAATCGTTGCATCACGTTCGGGTGAAGTCCTTGCTTCCGGAGCAGGTGGTAATGTGCTCTTCTTCTGCGTAGCGGGCCAGAACCGCTCAGCCACACTGGCGGTGGCAGTGCAGATTCTGCAGGGAAAGAAGTTGGAGGAGATCCTGACCGTTTGTGCCTGCAGCTCAGCTCTTCACAGCCAATTTCCTCGTTGCGGGTTTCCGAAAGCCCTCCTCCAGTCGAAGTGTCGGCCCTTCATCCTCGAGAACGTCGGGTTCCAGCGGCAGCTTGTGGAGCTGGAAATCATCGAGGAGCGGTTGAGGCACCGCTCGTCGGATGTCCGTGGCCCATCCTGGCACTCTTTTGGAACGCACTTCCAGGGGTCGAGAGCCCTCCCCGCAGCTGCGGCCGCTGCCTGATCCGCCCAAGGCCGGGGTGATGAAGTTCGTGCTCTCCTGATCTTGCCTTTCTCACCGTTCTCAGGGGAAGAGGCTGAAGGTGGAGACGTTCCCAGACTCGTCCCACGTGGAGGTAGAGCTCCTGGTTTCTGGCGTCTGTACGATGGCGGCGGTCATCCCCGCTTCTTGGAGAGTAATGCGTAAGGTAAAGTTCAGATGTTGTGGACCTGCCCCCTAAACCCTAAACCCTAAACCCCTAAACCCCTAAACCCTAAACCCTAAACCCCTAAACCCTAAACCCTAAACCCTAATCCCTAAACCCTAAACCCTAAACCCTTAAACATGGTTTGGGAGTTTGCAGCGTCCGAGGTCGAGGCGACGATCGACGCTGTTCGGCACATCCTCAACGATCGCGTGAACTCCTACCTGACCTGCGAGAAGTGACTTGGCTTGTGGCCAAAACCCCAAAACGAGTGCGTTACTGTATGGTGCGACTTTGATATCGACAGGCAATGCATCATCGGGAAAAGTTGGATGATGTTCACCATGTTCGGCTTGCCTCCGGAGTTCGACCTCGTTCTCGAGGAAGCAGCCGTGGAGGCCCGGGGCGCTGTTTAGAGTCGCTTTTCCGCTCTTAGAGCGCTGAGAAGGTCGGTGTTCAGATCGCGCGTTTGCAATCGACCTTCGGCTTGGAGATCGTGAAAGCCGGCGGTGACTCCCTCGGTGCCCCGCTCGGTCAATTCCCGAGGGCTTCGCAGAGGTTCCCAACTGTTGTATACTGTTGCTGACTGTAGGCGCGTCGACGATCATCTGCTGGAACTCTCGATGTCGTTTCGAACTGGCGATCTTCTCCGTGCGGCCTGGCTTGAGCGGAGGAGAAGGAGAGGTTGTCCGTTGTGACTTCTCCGAAGCTGAGGTTGAAGGGAGACAAGGAAGCGCACGAGCCTTTCACCTTCCGCTTGGGGCCAAGAAGAGCGGGGAGCAGAGCAGGGAGCAGGAATGCCCCCGGAAATTGGCCCTCGGCGTGCAATCGGCCCAGGCCACGAGGAGCGGCCCGGGGCTCCCGGGACGCTGCTGGCGGAGAACTTCCTGGACACGAATCTCCGAGCATGGGACTTCACCTCCGGCGAGGCCTTCCGGTCGACGCATCCGATCATCTTCAGCTATTCCGATGACCCCCGCAGCAAGCGAGCTGCTTGGCCCCGCCTTGAGACGAGCTGACTAGTCACTCTTTCAGCTTTTTTCGTCCTTGGGCGCTTCAGGATTTCATGAACATCTCGACCAGCAAGATGGAAAGGCAGTGGGGAGCATGTTCCTCCTGTCTTCCTTTCTTCCCCTAAGGCCGTAGGGGTCCTCAAGTACTTCCGGGAAATCGCAGGCAGCAGTTCGATCATCCCGGAGAGGGCGGCATCCTGGGCATGGGTGGCTCGGGCTCACTTCTGCCTCCCAGTTCTGTTGTGGGCAAAGGGGGCCTCCCTCTTGATCTTGGTCCTGTTCCGAGGGGCCAATGCCATCGTGCATCGGGTGGAGCTTGAGGCGGTGGAGAAGGCGCGGAGGCACTCAGCGTCCTTGCATCTCAGTGGCGAGACGCCTGCTGCAGGACCCGGAGCCTGTCCGAAGGGGCTTGAGACTGCGCCCCTCGGTTGCAAGCGGAGCGCAGGTGAGAAATCTAGACAGCGGAGCTCCGCGGAGAGCGTCTTCACGACTTCTTCATAGCTTTATGCTCGTTTCCTCTGTCTCTGTGTGTGTGTGTGCGCGTGTGTGCGTGTGGGGCACGTTGGAACCTTTCGTGACACTTTCGGGAGGAACAGTGGCAGATGCTAGTAGGAGGCGATGCGAAGTATGCCGTCAGGGCGCCTGAGCTCGGACCACTCCTTCGAACGGCGTTGGGACGCCGCCGTGAAGCGACCCTTCAGCCCGGGGCCCAAGAAAGCCAGCGGGAGATCTGAGATCCGCCCTCAGTGCGAGGGTCTCATGCACCGTTCGAGGCCTCTGGAAGATGCTGGCCTCCATGGAGCACAAGTCGGAAGCCGGCGTGGCGAAGAGGCCAAGCAAGGGACAAGCGGCCTTTCTTTCGTGAGAGATCTTCGATTCACGCGAGCGAAGCCTGGGCGAAGCGGGAGGTTGCGCATGGCTGGCGCGCTGAACAAGCAGGGCCGGCTCCTCTACTTCTACGGCCTGGGCCGGGGTGCCCAGCATTTGTCCAAGAGGACCTGGACGTCCTGGGGCTTGGGGGGGGGGGGTGAGATGTGTTGGTTGCGATGATGAGGAATCGCCCTCGCCTCCAACAACAACAACCACGACGAATACAAGTTCGAGGTCGGGATGCCAATCCTGGCACCTGCTGCCCTCCTTCGCCAGGGAGCTCAGAGCTTGGCAGGTAACCCTGCTGTCGCAGTACCAGGAGGACTTCTCCGCCTACACGCTGAAGATGTTTATGGAGGACTACACCAAGGCTCGCATCAAGTCGAGGCTCGGGGCTGTAGGTTCCATGCTGATGCTGGACAGGTTCTGGCCTCGGGCGACCTCTCGCCAGAGGTGGGTGTGTCCAGAATAGGAGTGATGGGGGGCGATTCGACGTGCGGTTTCTGGGACCCGAAGGAGCACTGGCGCATCAAAGACATGCAGTCCAAGTTCTCTCTCATCAAGGTGAAAGTCTTGCTGGTGGCCTGGCGGACGGGTTTTTGAACCAATCCCGTGCAGCGAAGCGCCCGCGTCGGCGCACGCTCCCTCACTCGAGGTGAGCCTCCTGAATGGCTTCAGAGATCTGACCTTGATGGGGGTGCAGGCGCAGCGCGAACAGCTTTAAGGGCCGGCATCACAAAGATATGTGTTCTGCTCAGAGGCCTTCGATTTCAACCACATGAACAACGTCCTCGTCTCGAGGGACTGCCGCAAGGCCCGGCTCATCGACATCGACGGCGACAGCAAGGGCTCCATCCAGCCGGGACCCTTCCTCTTTGTCGCATCTTTTTTGTGGGGTGGGCGGTGGCCCGGTGACAAGGGAGCTTTCCGAAGGTTCCCCTCCGAGTACATCCAAGGGTCACAGACACGAGATGAGCCCGAGGACCCAGGGAAGTGCAGAGCGGAAAGTGCAGAGCGATCCGCGAACAGAAAGCTTGCGAGGACCTGCACAAGCCAGCCTTGGACGTCGACCTTTCCACGATGCTGCCGCTTGTGATTCAGCACCTCATTTGTGGCAAAGGCGCAAGAGAATGCAAGAGCAGCGACCTGTAGCCTTGAAGTCTTTGGTATCTGGATTTGTGTAGAGGCCGTGGCACCACCTTCGTGACCAATCTCATCAGCAAAGTGAGGCCAGGAGCTTTGAAGCTTCTTAGTCGGAGAGCAGTACCACCTTCTGACATGCCTTCTGCGGCGAGGCGGGCGAAGACCGAAGAGGACGCCAAGGAACTCATCCGACAGATTGTCCAGGAAGGAAGTTGCGAAATTCACTGCCACACCTCCGTTTTCGAAGGTTGGTGTAGACGGAGCTTTGTACGGAAGAGCATCTCAGAACGACCTGCCAGGAGGACTTCTTCCCGAAGCTGCCTGCATGCCCGGCTGAAAGGGAAGCTCGGAGATCGGGTGTAAGGCTTTGAGACTCTAAGTCTTAAGTCCTGAGTGCCATGATCTCTCAGACCCCGGACGCATCCCTCATCGCACTCCTACGTCCTCCGTTTCATATTTGGAGGAAGCCCTCAACCTACAAACCCTAGAGTTAGAGACGCCGTCATAAACAAAGGGACCCAGCCCTCCTGAGCTCGAGGAGCGCAGTGAGAAGCACCTTGCGAAGGTGGTGGAGTGGCCGCTTGAGCCATACGAAGAAAGCTGTAGTTACCATTATTCCAGCAATTTAAGTATATAGTTAGTGTAAGTATTACATTCTTACGTCTTACATCTCGGTTACTCTTGTTGGACTTCTTGTGAACTTCTCCTCAGGTTCTATGCTCTCCTTATAAGGAGGTCTCCCTGGACAACTTGGACCAACGATATCTACGATGCGATGCGCTGCATTGACCATTTGCCAATCAGCTAGTGCCGAGCTTGCCGGAGCTGGAGCCCAACCCGGAAACCCGGAGCTGCGCCACCGACACCTTCAGCCACAGTCGAGGCCGAAGACTTGTGGGACTTGTGGGGCGACTGAGGAAGGGGCGCAGGCAGAACTCGAGAAGCCCTGCGGGTCGAGCAGGGGTCGTGTCCGAGAATCCGCCGGACGCTGCAGAAGCCCGAGCCGCTGCGCTGCCGCGTTGCCGCCGCGTTGCCGCCGCCGTCGGAAGCTGCAAGACCTGTAACAGGGAGGAGAAGGCGCGGAGAAAAGAGGCGCCCGTCGCCTTCGATCTTCGATGAGGAGGGATTCGCCCCAAAGCTCCGCCTCAGTTCCGACGCTCTCGGGCAGAGGCCTGCGTGCAGCTCCTGGAGAAGATTGCTACGCAAGACATGAAGGCCAGAGGCTGAGGCCGAGGCTCTCTGCCCTACAGTCTGGTCTTCTGTTTCCTGCAGGACATTGCAAGGAAAGTCGAAGAGAGGCCTTGGGGCCTCAAGTGCCAAAGCGTTTCGGATAGGTCTTGTTTGTGCAGCCATCGGTCCAGGATGGAGGATGAAGACGAGCATGTTCGTGACTCCGCGCAACTTCGCAGCACTTGCTGAGAGGGCATCCTGTGCTGCTTGAGTGTGCGATGCCGAAGAGGTACTATTCCTTGGAGGCGAGGTTTCTTGCATCGCAGTCTCCTGCAGAGTCTGCCTCTTGGGTCTGCCTCCATGTTTTCTCTCTGCAGCTTTGGCTCAGTCATGGCTGAAGGGCTCAACTCCCCAGTCCCGGGCCTCCGGGCGCTGGGGAATGTGGCAGGCGTGGAGAATCTGGCAGTGCTCTTTTCATTGACATAGATGTAGATGGTTTGCGCACTGTATGATGATTATGAAGACTGCTGCCATCTTGTAGCGTCGTGCGTGGGACGTGAACCTAAGTGGCTACTCTATTGCCCGCCCCCATACAAAAGGCTTCGGGCGATGACTTGAGCGAGCTCTACAAAGCCAAGGCCGCAGAATGCCGAGACAGGGGTGCTGGGGCTTGGGATCTGCATAGCGCCAGTTGGAGACAGACGGGGACATAGACTCTACTGTAGATGTGTTGGTTATCTGCCTCTCTCTGCCTCTTTGTCTCTCCCTACCTCCCTCTCTCTCTCGCTCTCTCTCTCTCTCTCTGTATATCCAGATACTTGTAGAATATTTACATTTAGAGATAGGGTCGATCCAAAGACGGGCATATCAGTACTTTTTTACATCTTCACCGACATCTGCAGCCAGGAAGGAGCCGGAGCGCAGCTCTTCATCCAGGCAGCGGAAATGGGTTGAGGGTTGTCTGAGAAGGGGATAGAAGGGGGGTGGGTAAAGACCCTGCCCGCTGCAGGCCGAGGAATTGCTGGCCTCTGAGCGCTACGGGGAAGCGGAGGCAGAAGCTCGGCTCCTTGGCAGAATTCGTGTCGAGAGGAACCCCCAGGAAAAGTCTTCGTTGAGGCCGCTAAGCCGCTAAGCCATGCTAAGCTCTCTGTCAAGTCTCAGGAGGGCGGCGCAGAGCTTCCGCGATGCGGGCAGCACCGAAGGTGCTGCCGACGCGGTACGCGTGGTGGTGAAGTCCCTGCTCGGGCAGGCGGCATCGCTTCTTTCGGGAATCGTCGCTGTGCGAATCCCGAACCCAATATCAGGGGCGCCGCGTCGAGGCTTTGGCCTTCGCGCGGGAGGAAGCTTTGGCACTTCAGTCGCTCAAGAGGTTTGTGATTCTGGCATGGTCATTGCGTTGCATTTGTAAAAGGAGAAGGAGAAGGCAGAAGACCGCACGGCTGTCGCGAAACTTTCGGTGTCAGTGGCTGAGGCCCACCAGCTGCACGCCTTTCCGTTTGCGCACGTGCTGCAAAACGCCGTATGCGCAGGCCTCCCTGGGCGATGCCGGAAGCCAGGCGAGAGCGGCGAGAGACACAGAGCTCCGGAGAGAGTGCGTATGCGCCTGCTCCGCTCTGAGGCGCAGGCCAAGGCCGGGCTGCAGGAGGCGAGGCGGGCGCTCAGCGGCGCCATGGAGGCAACCGGGGGGGGGACCCCGGCGGATCGGCAAAGAGAGAGGAGAGAGAGGGGTCGGAGATTTGACAGGCGCGAGCACTGCTGGCCCTGGCCGCCCTGGAGATGGAGAGGTGGGCGGCGCGGCGGGGCAGCAGGGCACCAGCAAGGAAAAAACCGCAGGGTCTTCGCTTGCTTTCGTATCACTGTCGTCAGGGGCGATGGCGACCTCGCGGGCTTGGAGATGGGGCTCAGGCACGCCGGCGAGGCGAGGCCCCCGCCCGGCCTGCGGGCTAGCATCCCAAAGCACTCACGTCGCGCAGGCGAAGCAGAAGGCCCTGGAGCTCGGCAATCGTCGCCTTGAGGCGAGCGAAGAGCCGATCGCGGAAAGCTGCGCGGCTCGCAAACCCTCCGAGGCGATGTCGCTGCTGCTGATGGTGGACGGCAAGGGGATGATGGCATCCCCGGAAGATGCCCTTGAAGTGGCCGACGAGCTGCTGGACTTGGCCTTAGAGCTGAAGGACGGGATGCCGCATGCGAACGCCTGTAAAGAGTCTCACAGATGGAAGCAGGACAAGCGCTTGGAGGCCTGCACCTTGAGAAAGCTCTCGGAGCCTCGGGCAGAGAAAGGATCAGACATGATCAGACGAAGCTTGTGGAGACACGGAGACACCGGCGTGTTGGTTAAGGTGTGGAACAGCAAGCTTGGAGATCGCGATCGAGCCATCTCGGATGCAGAAGAAGCCTGGGAGATCTACTGTGACCTGGAGTCTCCTCAGGCGAAGCTTCGATGAAAAAACACGTGTGGGAACGTGCAGTGCAGTGTCGGGCTCTCTCGGGAAGCGAGGAGCCGCAAGCTCTGCGGGCCCTTGTGGAAGGCCCGCCTGCTGACCGCTGACTCTCTGGCTCGCCTAGGGCCTTGGGTGCTTGTGAGGCCTCCTTCCCGTGGACCCCCGCCGCGCCCGGCGTCTCTGCACCGAGTCCTTGAGCCGACTGCGCACCTGGGACTTGCCGAGAGCGCTGGAGCTGCTTGGAGTTCAAAGCTCCTTTCAACGCTGTTCCGCAGGTCAGAAGGGCCAGAAGTTAGCGGAGGTGGAGGTCGTGCGTCTGCTCGTGGAGGCAGCGGGGTCATGGAGGCAGCTCTGCGACTGTTTATGCAATTCCCTGTGACCCCGTCACAGGTTCTGCTGAGACTTGGGAGGTTGCAGGACCACGGAATTCTACAAAGCCAAGGCCCATCACAGGCAGAATTTCCCCGCAGGAGGCGGCCTCCGCGGCACAAGATTGCATCCCCATTTGCAAGGACTGCTGACTTCGATTGGGCCTCTTCTGTGCGCTCGACGAACGGCTTTTTGGTGCGCCAGGAGATCGGAGCCACCGAGGCGCAGGCGGCCCTGATCGTCCGCCTGGCCCGAGCGCGCCTGCAGGCCCGAGACGTTCTGCAGCGCAGGGCCCGAGAGGAGTGTGAGAAAAGGAGAGCCGGGGTTGTTGTAGCCGGGAAAGCCTGGAGCGTCACCCGGTAATCTAGGCGATGAGGATGATAGTCGTCCTGTAGCTCGCACTTCTCGGTGAGAGTGGTAGTGTGCTGGAAGCACGCAAAGCACGAGTGTTGTCCTTCATGCAGGTCGAGTAAAAGGACGAGGGGACTGCACGAGCGGACATCTAAAAAAGACTCGCGGTCGTCGGAAAAATACTCCATAACATCTAAAGATGACATCTAAAAAGATTTCATGGAAAGACTTCATGACATCGATAGACGAAGGCGTCCGTCCCTCCGTCCGTCCCTCCCTCCCTCCCTCGCTCCGTCCGTCCGTCCGTCCGTCCGTCCGTCCGTCCGTCCGTCCGTCCGTCCGTGTCTGCCGAACATCGAAAAATATCGGGCGGACATCGAAAAGTATCGGGCGGGCATCGGAAAACCCAAAAGCAGCTTTTGGATGTCCTGAGGCTGTTTTCGATGTTCGCCGGTAATTTCCCAAGGACGAGTTGCACGGAGAGTCTGAGAGCCGAATTCTCCGCCTGGCAGGCCGGCGACTTCGAGAAGGCCGGACGGGCTTTCGATGGCTCTCAGCTTTCAGATCTCTTCACACTTCACAATCGTGCATGGGTCCCACAACACCAAGAACTCTTGTGAGCTGGAGGGGGGGAAGGAGCTTAATATAGGACGGGGACATTCGAAGCAGGAGTCTATAGAGGTAACAAGCGGAGGAGTTCTGGCGACGCTTGACTGTTCGTCGTTACCCTGGGGGCTGACTTGTCGAAGGCCAAGACCATGGCAGAGAATGCGTGGACGTGATGGGCTCGGCAAGCTCAATTTGCAGCTCAGCAGATTTTGGTCGGACGCATTCGGGTTGTGCAATGCCGCCGAGGATGCTGGACGAAGCCAAGGCCACCGCACGAGCCGAGAAGGCACGGAGAGCATGTGCACACGAGGATGATAAGCATTTTCCCTCGGCCCAGGCAGATGCCATGGAGGTGCTTTGCGATGCCCAGGTCCAGTCGACCGACCTCGAGGACTGAAGACTGTGCAAAGAGTAATGCTTGGCTAGCGGCTAGCGTGATGCCGGTCGGCTTCACCTTGTAATCAGGATGCACTAGCGCGTGCCACCGACTTTCGCGAGCACTTCGCGGTGGCTGGCGATGTTTGCCGGCCGAGTCCAACTCTCCGTTCCGGGAATCGAGAAGCAGTGCCATAGCACCTAGGCGAGGGGCCAGGCGAGGGCCTTGCTGCGATGCGCTCAGCTTCAGCCGGCTGCCCAGGATTCCCTTAGCATCGCTTCCTTTGTTTCTCTGTTGCTTTGGGCATGCAGGCTGGAGATGGGCGACTACGAGACGGCGTTCCAGAGCGCGCAGAAGGCCTGCAATCTCTACCACCAGGTGCCCTGAGCAGCGCAATTTGGGTGCAGCTCCCTGACAAGCATCTTTCCCTGGCCAGGAGAGGCAGAAGAGAGAGGAGGCGGATGCGAAGCTGCTGTGTAGTAAGATCTTCTGGCGGAAAGCCGACCACAAGGTGGGGCATGCAGAGGAACAGCATTTGATGCACCATCATTCCGCGATACCTTCCGACGTGTGAAGCCAGGCGGCTGTGACGTGGGCTGAACGAGTGCCGGCCTCATTGCTTTCCTTGCGAAGATCGCCGGCAGATGTTGAGGGGTTCTGTGTTCCACACGGAGATGGTCTGACCCAGGCACGAGCTGCGTACCGTGAGCTGGAGCAGACGGAAGACGAGGTGCCCCTTCGTTGAGAAGACCTCCGCTTGCCTTGAGTTTATGGTGCTTGTGCCTCATTCCTCCCTGCGCTTTGCTCAGGTGGCCTGCCTCTGTGTCATTTCCGAAAATGCAGCACGCCTGGCTGCTCGCGAAGGCCCAACACATCCGAGCGCGCAATGAGGGCGATGGGGTTTTCTTGCGTGGAGGAGCCAGCCTGGACGCGTCGGAGCCTGCGCCGCGGGCCGCGAGAGATGCGGGGTGCCGACTGGCTGTGACTGCAGGGTCTCTGCAGAAAGATGTTGTAGATAGAGCGATGGCACCTACTGCGAGCGACTGCGCATCGTAGCATTGACTTGGGGTTCCGCACTGCCTAGGCCTTGGAGAAGTCCTTAAAGTCTGCGGAGGCCGGACCCCGCAGGAGCGCTTGCACTTACCGCCGCATCGCTGCAGCGCCGCCCCGCGTCTGAGGCCGGGCTGAAGCTGCTGAAGGTGGCCGCCGCCGCGGCAGCTCCGGAGCTCCACGGGCAGCTGCTCTGTGCCCGGGCGCAGGCGCCGGCAAGACCCGGCAAGACCCCATAGGGGGGCAGAGCCAAGCGGGAGGGGTGGCTTTTAAGTGCACCGCCAGGCGCTGACTTTCCAAGGCCGCTTCGCGGAGGCGCTCGGCAGCCTCGACGAGGCCGTGACAACCCTCAGAGTTCTTGGTAGCAGCTGAAGAGCTCGGTCTGAGACTCCGAGGGCATAGCGGCATACCTCGCTCTCACTCTTAAGGTTCTTCGATTTCGGGAGCTCGACGAGTACGGATTGGAGGTTCCGATTCCGGCAGTTGCGTCACGGAGCAGCAAATAAAAGAGAACTTCAGGCCAATGCGCTCTTGCTCGCATGCGACAACCTATTCGCGGAGGGCTCAGCCGTTGCAAGATCTTGTGCCATCGCCGGTGCAGAAGTCAATACAAACCATTTTGGTTGGTCTTCAGTGGCTTTGAGGCCTTGAATCGGGCACGGGAAGCCGCAGAGGCGAGCTGCAAATCGGGAGAACTCTGCAAAATTGAGAGACGAACGGCAGACAACTTGGCCTTCCTTATGTGAACTGTCGCGCACCTCTGACAAGACAGTGCAGGCAGCGACAGAGGCATTGACGCTCTACCAGCACTGTCAGGACGCAGCTCCGGTGAGGGGAGTGTAGTTCAGTCTGATGCAGGGCTAGTTCCGTGCCGGCATGTTCCAGGGCTCGTCGTGAGTTCGAGGTCGCATGTAGTGTGCTTTTTTCTCAGAGACCCCTGCCTTCAGCCATCCATCTCGATCACTTTCTCTTCAAGTGTCATACTTGCAGTGGGTGCCGTGGGTTCAGAGAACCCCGTGGCCTGGCTCAGGACCTGGAGGGCGAAGAGCGGGCGAGGGTGGTCGGGGCCTGACGGTTCCGATCAAGCCGGCCGTAGCCGTAGCCATCCCGAATTCCCAAAGCAATTTTTGAGGGAAGCAGACAATTAGACGAGTAGCCCGTTTTCGGGTCAGGACTTCGACCACTTGTTGTGACCCGTGTATGAACGAGTTGCCCATCTAGCAGCCTTGCGTAGTGACGGATTCACAGTGTTCATGGCTGCTGAGGGGGGTTGTGGGGACTGGCAGCGGGGTGGCTGCGGAAGGCGGAAGATGTTGGCATTCTGGGCAGTAGGTGGGGGGCGCGGGCTGATGGAGCTCCTACACCGATAAACGAATCTCAAGTGTGTTTTACCCTTCCAAGTCTGTGTTTTAAAGCAGCGTTGCCGGCCGCCTGAAGGCGGTTTGTGGGCTTTGGGCGGCATGGGGCGGCGGATAAAAAACAAGAGCCGAACAGGGCAACAGCGCATCATGACGGGACTCATGCATTCTGTGAGAGGCGGCACGCGTGCCAATGTGCAAAACCAGTCCCGTCCCGCACAGCCTCATGACCACTACTGACTACTAGATGCAAAAGAGCAACGTGGCTGAGTTGCTGAAGCACCCCAGCCTCATCGCCACCGCCCGGCAGCAAGCTGAGATGACGAGGCTTCCAGATGCACCGAGGTCCTCGTACGTCCTTTTCCGTCCCGAGGCCCAGCGAGCCGAGACCGGGTGGACCCGGACCCATCCCAGGAGCAGACGTGATGCCAGTGCCCGACACTTGGGAAGGAAGACCGGTACTTGTAGTCCAGTTTGTGGGAGGCTTGTGTGCCGCCGTTGGACTTCCGAGGTGGTTGCAGCAGGCTGATGCTCCATTGGAGGCCGTCTGGTACTCAAAGCGGTTGTGCCGGAATGCTCGGTCCTTGGAGGAGGCCGCGCCGGTCGCCGCGCGGGCCGTACAGCGCTCCACTGGGATCGGCGCTCAGGAAGGCTTTCTTTTTTGGCGGAGGTCCGCTCGCAGCCGGGCCCGGTGCGCCGAGGCCAGCGCTTGACATGGCGTCCATCACCCCCGAGGCAGTCATGGCGAAGGCACTGGAAAGCCGCAGAGCTATCGTGGAATCCAGCATAGCAGAGACGTCGCGAGGTGCGCGACATCGTTTCTGCGGTCACTGGGACGGAGCTTGAGGAAATCGACACGGAGACACCGCTCATGGAGGCCAATCTGTGCTTCAAAACTTGGGATGGACGTGTGAGCAAGACGAGTGATGTTACAGCGCTGTCCCAGGCGGGTCTCACAAGCAGTTCCGCGATCGTGATGCAAGAGACGCTGAGCAAGGCCTCAAGGGGTCCTTCGAGTCACCTTTCAATCGCCCTGTGGCTGCTTCTTTAAACTTTAAACATGCTTTGTCAGGAACTTGGCATGAAGCTCCCCATGACACTGGCAGGGACCTCGCATACGTCAGAAGAGTGCAGCTTGGACACCACCGGCCGTGATGGTTAAGGTCTTTGACTACCCGACAATTGCCGACATGCCCGGCCCTGAGTGCCTGTGAGCCTCGTTTGATGTCTCCCTTTGTTTTTTGGGGCAAACAACACGCAGGGCAGAAATGGTCCAAGAGCAGACGTCGCAGAAGGCCATCCAGGGCTGAGAGAGGCAACTCCGCGCCTTCGTCTCACCCATCCCCCGTCAGATCTTCCGCGTGCTCCGCCGGGTGGAAGGAAAAGAGCGCCTGCAGTGCGCAGAATCTGCGAATGAACAGAGCGAAGCAAGTAGCTAAGTAGCCTCTGTTCGTGCTTCGGGCCTTCATCAGGCAATCAAGGCCAACCTGCCTGGGCGCCGCCGGCGTGCTCCTCGGACAACTGCTCCCATACTGAGAGCGGCGGTTCCGTTGGGTGATTTCTATGTATTTCTTCAGGTGGATTTCGGACCTTCCTGACCTGGGCGATTTGGATCGCATCGGGTCCTGCACTTGGCCCTCGGCAACGGCTTCAAAGATGCCCGCCGCAGAATGCAAGTTGGACCTACCTTGTTGCTGATTGAAGGCTGGACTCGTCGGACGAGGAGGATGAGAGGGGCGACCGCTGGTAGGGCACGCGACGGCCGCCGGAGCAAAAACGAAGCACGCTACGGACGCTGCATAGCAACCATAACTAATACATCCGAACGCCGAGCGAATCATCTTTCAAAAATTCAAATCAACCAAACTACACTAAGTGTTTGTTTTGGCGAAACCGCCGAAAAGGGAAGCTGAGGCGTGCATGCCCTTGGCATCTGCTTTGGACTTCTCCTTCCTTCGAAAATTCCGCTTAATGCCTCTGCTGAGTCCGTGGGGCCTCGCTCAGCTTCTTTGCAGCTCTTATACTAGTATCACTTATATCCCACACCTTTCTCGGCATAAGCTCCCTCAGAAAACTGAGATTGTCACGTCCGGACCACAAAGCCACAGGCCCTGTGAGCCCAACAAAAACAAACTCACAACAAGCGCACCCAATCATACACCGCCCCGAAATGGCAAGAATCTAGCAGCCCTCAGCAGCTCGACAGGACAGCTTCAGGTGCTATTGCCGTTCAGTAGTGTCGTCGTGGTTAGATTTTATGATCGAGCTGCAGACGAGAGAGCAAAGACAAACGTTTGAATGTGTGCACGTATATTACCCGTCTGTATGCACGATATGTGCATGGATGCATGGTGTGCATGCATGCAAGTTTGCGATTTGCCTGCCTGCCACATGAGGACAGCGAGACAGTTGCCAGTGACTCATGCAGATCTATGGCTCATGACGGAGGAAATGTTGCGGAGCTCGCCCTGAAGTTCATCACGATATCTCAGCAGGGACAGATTCCGTCTTTCAGTGTTTGGCCGTTGAAACTTGGTTAACGCAGGATGTTGTCTATAATCCGTCGGTACTTGTAGATTGCGTTTGCGCAAAGCTGACGCAAGATATTTGCCCAGCATGGCCCTCGAAGACATTCCCTTGGATGATTCACCTGTGCATGTGCTGCGAGGAGTTCGGAGTGAAATTGCCCACTTCTCCTGGCCCGCTATAGTCCGTATAGTGTGTTTGATGTAGCACAGTACAGAAGCATGTCTTGTCACGTGGCAGATGTGCATTGCGTCTGGATCAAAGGGCTAGCTTGTCGGGAAGTGGCACCAATTTGCCGACTTCTGAAGCCTTTGCAATCGTTCCAAGGCGTAGCGCTAGATCTGATGAGCAAAATCAAGCCTTTGTTGGACAAACAAGCGATACCAAGTCATGTGGTATTGTTGCAAGCGCAGGCTCGGCAACGCACGGCACAGCTATAGATAGGTTCCGTTGCTGCTCGGCGCCCGTGCAGTCCTCTCCTTGAGATTTGCAGCTGGCCTGGTTGGCCCTGCTAGGCGCCATGCAGCCTTGAGATGTCTGCAGTGCTTGGCCAGCCTTGTCAGTGCGCCAGGAGTGTCATGGGCTGCTGCGAGAGTTTGATGGCAGAGGACAGCCGTCATCAGCTACCTGCAAACCACGCAGCCGACTTGATGATCACGATGGTGTTACCTGATGGTTTTCTTATGTGCGAGGGAACTGCCGGGCCTCCCTTCCAGCAAGACGAATGCGACTGGGCTGAGTTGACATCATTCCTCGTAATCCTGCTGTGAACGTGGCGCAGTGTGCTAGTCAGGCCTCAGCGAGCCAGCTGACAAGATGCAGGAAGCTCAGCTTTTGTGATTCGTCAGAGAGAGCACGATTTTTCGTGGCAACCCTCGCTTCATGGTTGCTCCCGTCTTGCAGCGCCGCAGGCTCATGCCTCCACAGCACAAACCATGGGACAGCAATCCACAGGCAACTGTGCGTGCACACACATGTCTGATCGCATGCTCTGTTATAGTTCTTGTGCGGCGCTGTTGGGAGGAAGCGCCATCGGCAACGTTGACTTCGAAGGCAAGCAGCTGGGGATGATTGAACCGATGCAAAGGAAGAAGCATCGTGCATGGGTTTATTGAGAGGAAGACCTGCAGCTCAAGTTGAAGCAATGGGCGTGGCTGAGCCGATGATCGCTCAAGCCAACTGCTGATGACAATTTTGTCCTTTCTAAGGACGTTCGCTCCCAGCGTCCAACTCATGCTTCTTGGCAGGGTGGGGGTCTCAGCGTCAACAACTTCAGTGCTTCATAATTCTGAACCTCGGACAAGCCAACTGCCAGTTGGCCTGGGATCTCGCGGAGCAGCTGGACGACGTGCGCGACCAGAACACCTTGTTGACGCGAGATCTCTTCACCTCTGAGTCCGGAAATCCCCTGATCGCTCGTGCAGGCGGAGCAAGTCGGGTTTGGGTTGCGAGCTGTCCATGACTGCCCGAACTGCCGGAACGGGCCCGGACTCCTGCATTAGGTCTGGTGGAACGGTTCAATCGCCAGGATGCAGATCACGAGAAGGCGTTTGGCAGTCTTGAAGTTTAGTCTGCCAAAAGCCCATCCTCAACCTGCTTTCAGTGGCACTTTCTAATTTCTAGCACTTTGCTCCAACTTGAGCAGGGATCCAAGGATAGATCAGTTGGTCGGCTTGAGCCTTTGACATTTGTCCCAATTTCTCCTGCAATCGCAGTGGGCATAACCGTGCCCTTCAGCTACCCAACCTCTTCCCGTCGGCTACCCGCTCTCCGCCCGTCAGCAGCCTCCACGTGTCAGCTAAATCTATTTCCATCAGATACCCACTGGTTCGAGGTTGGATGTTTCGCCTGTCAGGTACTACCCCGAGGTTTCCGCCCGTGAGATACTCTCTATTTCCATCAGGTACCCCCTGTTAGAGGTTGGGGGTTTCCTCACGTCAGATACCATCTGTCCGACCTCCGCTTTTCAGCTACCCACCCTCCGCAGATACTATTTGTCTATCTAGTCCCACAGTCCCCCTCTCTTTGGTCCGCCCTGCCGCCCGTCAGCAGCTGCCGCCCGTCACGTACTATCTCTCTATCTATCCAGCAACCTACTCACTCGTTCAAGTTAGAGGTTGGGTTTCCGCACGTCAGATGCTCTCTATCTCCGCACGGCAGATACTATCTGTCCAACCTCCGCCCGTCAGCGAACCACCTTCGCACGTCAGCGCCCGTGAGCTACCCACCCTCCGCCCGTCAGCTACCCACCCTCCGCCCGTTCTATCTATTTAACGATCTATCTATCCATCCATCTATCTATCCACCCCACCCTCCTCGGGTCGGCCCTGCCGCCCGTCGGCAACCTCCGCCCCCCTCCGCTAGCTTGCGTGCCGGAGACCGTATCTATCCATCACCCCCCCAGGTCCGCCCTGCCGCACGTCAGCTGCTTACTCATTGGTTAGAAGTGAGAGGTTTCCGCGCGTCAGATACACGCTATTTCCATCCAGTATTTGCTGGTCAGAGGTTGGAGGTTTCCGCCCGTCAGACACTATCTGTCCAACCTCCGCCCGTCAGCTGCCCACCGTTAGCTACCCACCCTCCGCCCGTTAGAGACTATCTATCATTTATCTACCCCCCCTCCTTTGGGACCGCCCTGCCGCTACTCCGCCCCCCGTCAGCAAGCTTCCGTGCTATCTATTTCCTTCCATCAACCCCTCCCCCCGCACGCCAGGTCCGCCCGTCAGATACTCTCTATTTAACTCTGTTTCCATCAGGTACCCACTGGTTAGAGGTTGGAGGTTTCCGCCCGTCAGATACTACTGGCAGATCTGCTCAAACACCACCCAAGACGGCATGAACGCAGGTGGCAACGGAGGGCGCGCCTCCGATTGCGCATGCCGGCGCTGCACGGAGCCTTGGGCAGCAATCTGATTTTTGTTACTCTTCCGTGGGTGCTCGCAGGCGATGCACCTTGCGTCTGCTGCCGAGGAGCTCGGAAGCCGTGTCGGACATGCAAAGCACCGGGAGTGGCAGTGGCGGCGGCGAGTCTCCCGTGTCGGAGGCAGGCTTTGTGTTTCCTCTCCTCACAGAAGTCGCAGGTTCAGGTTTGCAGAAGGCTGCAGGCTCAGGGTGCGGCGGAAGATGGTACCGGCAGGGCGGCTGGCTCAGCTTTCTGAGCAAGTCAGTCTGGCAGAAGGAACAGGGGGGACCTTCCTGGCTGCCACTAAAATCCTTTTATTGTTGTTAGCATAAGAACGCCCTGCCCGGACTGCAGTTCTATGTCACTTCGCATCTAGAAAAAGTTGGCCAGTTGTTTCGCTGGACTTGTAATTCACATTTATGTGGAGCGCTTCTTCTTTCCCTCCTCACACTTGACAGCGCATCCTGCTGCGTGCTTCGTGCAGACCAGGTTGCAGGAAATCAGAGTAGAGGATGCCTCTTCGTGAGCGGTCTTGGAGATTTCTTGCAGAAAAAAATATTGGGCAATCACCAATCCTTTGGACCAACATCGGTAGTCATGCCAGTCTGCAACGCTGGCCACAGCGGGTCAGGACAACAGCAGATGTGTCTCGGAACCCTCGTCATCCAAGCCAGTCTGCACGATTGCAGGCTCCCGTGTCCACGGAGTGCGTGTCTCCGACTCCGGCTGCGCTGTGGTTCGGGCTGCCAAGCTGCCAAGACCGGCGCGCTGACCGCTGCTGCGATGAGCACCTCGCTTGCAGCGCTGCTCCGTGGGGATGCGCCTCCGGTTCTGCGAGTGGCGGTGCGAGGCCCGAACCCAGGCCAAGCCCTGGAAGCATCCGCGTGCCCTGCGGCGATGCAGAGTCTCCTGCGTCGGAGGCGGGCTCCTCTGTGGGCTTCCTAACAGCCAGTCGGTCGCAAAGTGCAGCAGAAGACTTGCATGTCGTGTCGCCAAGCAGGATGCTCATGACGAAGGGCGTCAGTGTGGCGGTGATCGGCAGGCTTGGAGTCTGGGTCTTATGGTGGAAGCAACTAAAACTAGCCCACCCCAAGCAGAATCGATCGCTCTGAAACCCCACTCCAACGAAAGGGGGGGTAGCTGCGTGGAGGTCGTCCTTCGGGCGGTGAAAGCATGTGAAAGGTTTAAAATTTGCTTTCGGTGACGCCCTCATGAAGCTGTAGAAATTTAACTCATGATGGTGCTAAACGACTAGCAGCGGCCATGCTCAAGTACAAAAACGGCAAATGAAGTTGATGCTGTGCATCCGGCCCTCACACCAGACGGATGAGAGATGAGCGAGTGAGGTGTACTGGGGTGCTCCATCGTTCATCATTTGTCTTTGATGGTCTCTGCTGCTTTTGGCACCTGAAGCTCCCGTGCGTCGCCCCCGTACATGATTTTTGAACGTCACGGAACGCGCCGTTTATCACAAGGCCGGTGACGGGAAGGATCCGTCAAAGTTTGGGTACCTAGCACTAGTCAGGGCCGATGAACAGAGTTTGGGGCTACCGCTCTCTGTATGTTTCGCTGCTCACCCAGCATGTGAGTTCCTTTTTTGCGTGGGGTTGCAGATGATCCCAGCTCGCTAAGGCCGCTAGGGGCTAAGGCTGGGGGCCTGGTAGCGGGGGGATCCTCTGCTAAAGGGTTTTGAGCTTGCCGAGGATTTCTCTGCTTCCTATCAGAGATGTCTGGACCCTAACAATGAAAATGTCGAGCGCCGATCATCCTTCAGAGATTCTTTCGAAGCCTTCGATGAAACATCAGACCAAGAAGAAGCCGATACAAACCCCAACGAAAAGAACAAGACAAGGCACAGCAGTGGCGTCAAAAGGGCAGATGCCCTCCTCCTTGGCGCATTTTCACAACACCTTCGATGTCCTTCTCCAGGACCGCCATGACTGCATGCTGGACCGCCGAGTCGCCTGCAGCTTGCAGGCGAGAGTCGCAGAGACCCGTCACCACAACCCTAAGCCCTACTGACACCTACACCGAGGTTACGGAGACCTCGGTGGTGGCCGCTGCCAATCCAGTCCGAACAGACCGGGGCCGGGGCTGCGAAATCGGAGCGGATTCTGAACCCCTGGGCTGGATGCAGCTTATGTCGCAACTTGGCAGAGCGCCTTTTGGGATCAAGTTTGCACAGCTTTGGTTCTGGAGGTGTCATTCACCCTGAGCTGCAACTGATCTTCTCAAAACGACAGCCGGTGTGTTGTTTGCCATCACTTGCTGCCGCGGTATCCGGCGGCCGGCGATCAGGCAAATGAAGATGGAGGTCCTGAAGTTCTTGCCCGCTTGGCTCTCAAGGGCAGATGCAAGTAGATGGCGTCATATGACCAACCCTCATCCTCAAAGTCCTCAAAGAGGAGCCTCAACGAGCAAGTTTTGCACTCAAGCTGAGATGTTCAGATGTTTCAAGTTTGAAAACGCTGTGCGGCCTGCCGGCCTTGCCCTTTTAAGGTGTCTGAGATTCCCAAGAGTTTCTCTGTTTCGCCGATGTTCGCAGATCCAAAGGAGCCCTTTGCACGTGCGACTTTAAGGGGCTTCAAGACATCCATGCCTTGCGAGGGCCTGTTTGCCCACTTCAAGCACATCGCGGACTTCTCACGGCGCGCACTTCTGCTAGCCATGGGTCATGGGTAGCGCCTGCTCTTGTGGAGCTGTGTAAGCTTGTGAGAAGCCGCTCTAAGCCTGTAGGCCTGTGTCCATCGATGAACAGTGCCGTGCTTTGCAGGCCAGATGTCTTCGTGGCTTATGCAGCGGCGCTGCATCAGGAAGATGGATGAACATGGGTCTGGTTGCAGAAGTAGCCAAGTCCCAGACTATATTGCAGGAATCTCACGCCCGCGGGTTGGACCTGTGGGGACCTGATGATCCTTTGCTTGCGGTGCGCCTGGACACCACTATGCTCGAGCGCAGCGACAGCTGCGCGGCGTCAAACAGATTTCTTTTGGGGCTCCTGCGATGGGGCGCCCTTTTGTGAGTCATAGCAATCCTGGTGTTCTGCTAGGGCCAACCCCCATGTGTGGTTCTTCTTGCAAAGACTGAACAAAGATGAGAGTAAAGGGCTTTGACAGCACATGCGGGATTCGCAATTCTTGCCGGCCCTGAGCCGGCCACAAGAGGCCAGGCTGATTCGTGGAAGGCTTGCAGAAGCAAGTGGTGAAGCTGTTGATGCGAGCCTGGCAGCAGCCAGGTGGGCGGCTGGGAAGGCGATGTTTTTTTTCTCGGAAGCTCTGCGGCAGCTGCGTGGAAGCGATGGGACTAGCCAACCGCCAGCCGGTAGGTCAGTGAAGTTTTTCGTTGCTATCGCTGCCGCCAGAAAAATCCAAAAACCTTCAACACAAGATTCACACACCCTTGAACAGCGGGTTCGAAGGCAGCACAACCTCGACCCAAAACAAACGATTGACAAGACTATTGCCTCTCTCGCGGAAGCTCCGCGGAAACCAAAAAACTCCGCGGAATTTAAAGGTCCGTGGATCAGGAGTCCCATTGCAGTAGTTGCCCGAATGTCTTCGCGGAAGGCCTGCGGAAGCTCAGTCTTTCCACAGGAGTTTTCAAGGAATAGAGGCCACCGCTGATAGCAAAAGATGGGCTGGGCTATATATGACTAAAAAGAAGAACAGTAGATCAGCAGAGCATGTGTTTCTACCCAAAGCAGCTCAGGTTTGCGCTGGCTCCTGGGGATGAAGAGACTGTGGTTTCGGCGTGCCCCGTTCTGCATGCTGGATTTGGCGCGCAGTTTGCTGCGTTACACAGAGCAGATGAAGAGTCCCGACTGTATGGGCATTCACTACCGCCGCACATCTGCAACAGCACAAGCTTGTTTGGCAGACATAGTGGGATCTGCCGAGTTTGGCGATTGGCTGGAAGCACAATCGCTTTTCTACGAAGCGTAAGCTTCTTGCGGCAACACAGCGGCTTGACGGAGTGATTGGCCCACGACGGCTTGACGGACTGGCCACAAGAACATGAGCTGAGACCCAGGGCGCCCTCGGACTCGCTTGATGACGGCCGTCATGACGAAGAGCAGAAACGAAAGCTGCAAGGGGCTGACGTAGAGGCAGAGGACCCTGACGCTGCTTGTGTCTGGAAAAGCTTCGACTGGGAGCGGGCTGTAGTTTAAGGATGTTTTTCAAGGTCTGTAGGAAACATGAGCATTTTGAGGTGCCGAGCATTGCAGCGGCGATGAGAGACCACCGAAGCCGTTTGAGTTCCAAGCTCCTTCTTCAGCATCTGCCTTGGCCCGGTATGAGCACGGTCCCTGGCGCATGTGCTCGATGTGCTTCGTAGAAAGTTTCCTGCTGTCTTTGAGCAGTCCTTGGATTCACAGTCGAACAGCTCTGCTGACCCAATCTCTCCCCCAGGCTCCAGGCCCCAGGACATGCTGGGCAGCTTCACAACCAGTACGAGCAGAACTTGGTAGAGCCGAGCTGCTCGTATTTACAGCACCATCCACATGTCAGCCGTTTTCGAGCCCTTCTTGATGGCCTTTGGACAAGACCGACCGTGCAGAAGCTAGTTCGTGATACTTTAGGGGGGGTGTATTGCAAACTCAACCAAGATGAACCCAGACTGAGGGGGTACCCCCGATTTGTGTCACCCCCGATTTATTGTTTCAGACATGCTCACTTTTTGCATTTCGGGCGTGGGGTCTGCAGGCCGAGTGTGTTCGTTTTTAAGCCAGTGCTGTTGCCGTATACGCACCTCCCGAAATGCTCGAAACCCATTCCTGCAGAGAAGGCCTGTATGCTGAAGTCGCCGAAGATGCGCCGTTTTGTGAGCCCCAGAACCACATGCAGCTGATATGGGTGCTGCGGTAAGTGTAGTGTATTGAACAAGTGGCGCCTCTTCCAGCGCAGGCTGGGATTACACTCGATAGCACGCCGTCACGGTGAATCAGCTAGCAGCCGATCCATGCATCATCATGCAGCACTCACACGTGATGGCAAGATTGAGCATTTGAACAGTTGCAGCCGCAGTGTCGCAGTTTGCAGCAATCGCTGTTCCACACCCAGGCCCTTCTCCCTGTACCGAGGCCTGCTGTTGCTTGCTTGAGCCGGGGGCGTCGCTTGGGCCCGTGTCCGTAGTGCCATCAGGAGCAGTTTCTTCGAAACAAGATCAAAGAGCTGGAGAAGGCGAAGTTGCGGTGTCAGTTCGATCTGCTAACATGCAACCATGCACAAAGCAGGACCTCGCTGACACCGCCGTTCGAAGCCAAGTGGGAGCGAGTCCTGAGGCGCCCGTCGCGAGACCCCAACCGACTCCAGACTCGACGCGTGCAAAGATGCATCGCGGCATCCAGTCCAAAGACATCAGCCTTGTAGGTCTATGGCCCGTGCAAAGTTTGTTTTGCCCGGGCATGCGTTTTCGGTCAGGCAGCACGCCAGTAAGGGCGGGGTGGGACTGGGAGGGAGAGGCAGAGGATCCTATTCGGAGGGTTATGTGCGACAGAGGTTGATAGAAGGAAGGAAAAGAGGGCGAGAGAAGCGCCCTAATCAAGTGCCACAAGAACAGAAGAAAGAGAGAGAAGGGTACCCATGCCCCGAGCAAGAAAGAAACACTAAAGACAAACAAAGAGATCATGTGCGCATTTATGAAAGCTGTGGGTACGAGTGGAGCTTTTGCGGCCCGTGCTTGCAAGCGGATCACACTGCAAACTGGCGGTGTCACGGTCTTCCAAACTGAAGCTCTGCTGAGGCCTTACTCGAAACAGCCGAACGTGAAGGAAACCAGCTCCGCGAGGTGTGGCGCTGAGTCGGGCAGAGTTTGTGTGTAGATGAGTAGATCTACTTGTAAACGCCGTGCGTCGATTGCCTCAGTGGCCGAAGTCGGAAGGCAGGCTGCCCCAAACTCGATGATTAGCGCTTGTGGGTTTGAGGTATCTGGGGAGAGTTATGGGGGAAGCTCTCGGAGATGATGGCGCATCCCTGTTTCTGTACTGGGGGTGAGGTCCTAAAGATTACCCTTCGGATCACCGGGACGGGCGTCGCAAGTTCCTGAAATCGGGGGGTGAAACCCAAGTGCCTCAACGGATCCTTGAGGCTCGGTATGTTACATAATCAAGGAAGTCATTTCCCGCTATCATTATGCAGTGTATTATGCTTTCTGTGTTGACCTTTGAATTCTGTAATTCTGAACATGTTCAGGTGATCGCAAAGCGTGGAGTGCGATGCCAAGTGTTTGGAATGACATGCAGCACCGTGCAACACTCTGCAGCGGTCGATTTTCCTAGCTGCTTTTTGTGGCCCTCCTACATCACATCAGGAAGAAGTAACATCGTTGAAAGCCCAGCTGCGGGTTGCCAAGGAAGCCTGCCGCTGAGATTCATGAGTGGTTCATGATCTGTGTATTATTTCTATTTGGGTGCTGAGGAACTTCGCATACTTCGTCTCCAGGCTGGCACCCAAGTCCATCCAAGAGCAGTCTTCTTCGCCTGTATTCCAACCCAGACCCCGCCGTCTCACAGCCAATTCGGTTAAGAATCAACTCAATAGCCGATAGCCCTTTCTCTTTGACAAGCTTCTGCAAAACCCGTGTCGCATGCATTGCCTCCCCCCACTGTCTTTGTTGATGCGCTTTTCTCTTCTCACACGCTGTTGTGTGCAAGCAGCTGCTCATGTGGTCTATGTTTGTCTCCGTGATACAGTGTGCGATGGTTCGGACGGCCCCCGCTGACCCTTTCTTCGAGCACTACTAGTGATCCGTGGGACGCAAGGCCGAAGCATCGCTGTTCAGCTGTTGCTGGCGAAGGCCGGTGGTTCCCGCGATTGGCCGCGTGTGTCAGCCCTGAGCTTGGTATGCTTGGCATGGCTGTTGCAAGTGCCAATGATGCTCTCAAGGGCAGTGTGGCACCTCGCAGAGGACGCTGGGCTCCTATCGAAGCCCCAAAGTTTTGCGCAGTGTTCGGTGTGTGGTTCTGGGTTTGGTGGCTGGCAGGCGGAAGACCTAAGATCTTTAAAAACGTCCGTTTACAGCGCAGTTTCGCCCATCATCTCATGCTCATCATGCTAATCCCTTTGCTTGCTGAGGTTGGGCCGAGATCGCATATGACGGCAGGTGTGGCACAGGCACGGCTGAGTCAGTGGTTTTCAGCTTCGGCGCAGGCGCTCCCGCGCAATCCGCTGGCACTGGCACACCAGGAAGTTTTGGTGGTGGCTTTGGCAGCGGCTTCGGCAGTGGCTTTGGCCAGAGCTGCAGCAGAACGGGTACTGCCACTTTCGGCTTCGGAAGCCATGCAGTCACCTTTGGAGATTCCGCAGTTGCCAGCACCAAGTCGAGGAGTCCGAGTTTACTACGACCGGGCGGGAGCCTTTTGGTGACGGAAGTGGCGAATGCGATCAGCTAGGTCCAGGTTTGGGCGATGATATGCAAAAGCGCAAGAAGCCAATGCTCTTGAGTTCTCGAGTCAGAAGTATTTGCGAAATTGCAGTCGGTGTCATGCACGTTCTTTGGCATTCCGCAGGGAGAGCTGTGCACAGCTGGGGCTGCAAAGATGGTGGGGTCTTGGGCAGTGCTTCGGACAGTCTCGCGTCGCATGCGGAGCCACATCCGGTGACGATGCCAAGTGGAGTCGCAGTTCGCCATGTTTCGTGTGGAGACTGCCACAGCTGTGCCTTGGATGAGAAGCGTCGGGTCTGGTTACGGGGCACATACAAGGATTCCAACGGTTATATCGGCATCGCACACAAGCGCAAGCAGGAAACGGAGGTCCTGGAGAAGAGTGCAGAACCAACGCTGGTCCTGGAGGGATGCGTGCAAGTTGCAAGTGGCGCTAACCACACGGTGGCCCTCGCAGCTCCGAGTGGGCACAATCAAGTCTTCGCTTGGGGCTCCAACGCCACGGGACAGCTTGGACTGCAAGGCGCTTGTGGTTTCTCCGAGCGCACCCTGCCGTGCTCAGGCAGCGTTGCAGGCCTGTCACCGCGTGAAGGCGGCGGCTGCGAAGTCGCTGGCGAGCAGGTCGTGCGCATTCATCAAGCTGATGGCTCTGTGCGTGCCGCTACTTCCATGACTGCCGAACAGGTCCAGCAAGCTGTGGTGCAAGGTGCAAGTGCCCTGGTTCTGCAGGTTGCAGAGCGGGAGGTCCCCAAACCAGAGAAGCAGAAACTGCTGCAGCCACAACAAGTTCCGCTGGAAGTTGGTGCTGGGGAGCATGTTGCCTCCGCGCTGCATGCCAGTGCCGAGTGCAGCTTCGTAACATTCGAGGACGGTGCCGTTTTTGGCTGTGGGTTGAACGGCGATGGTCAGGTTGGACTTGGGTTTGTGAGCATGGCCGTACAGCAGCTTCAGGCCGTGCCCGCTGTGCGAAGGGCTTCCTGGATAGGCGGTGGACTGCACAGCACCGCAGCGCTGGTGGATGGACGCGTGTTCACTTGGGGCAAGGCAGAGGAATGCGGCATTGGTTTGGGGGAGAAGGCAGGTGCGAGCTTCCGCTTTTGTTGATCTCCTTCAGCTCTTTAGGTTTATCTTGCTGATCCCGGTAGATGCCGCGCGCGAGGGTTTGGAAGCAGCACGTAAGAGGTGGGATGTTTCATGCAGGTCTGTTAGCTTGAGCTAGGCACCACTCCGTTGCATTGTGGCAGGACCCTCCGGTGCTGCAGCCTCGAGAAGTTCAGGGGCTTCCGAGAGTGCGAGCGCTGCGTTGTGGAGGCCATCACATGTTGGCCAGCACGGAGGGCGGAGACCTATTTGTGTGGGGTTGCGGCTTGACGCATCAGCTGGCCAACCGGCCACGGGACGTGTCAAACCCA